AATGCTTAAAAAAACATATAATGTATGTAGAATATTAATAACAATTACTCTGTTCCACTGAATCGCTTTATGGTACTAGCTGATGATGAGTTTTTGTAGAAAATACAGTTATATTATAGTAACAAAATAGTACATTTAGCAACATATCAAATTGGGTACCACAAAATAATAAATTTTCTCATAAGACTATGAATCTTATATGAAACATTATTAATTTATAAATCAATCTCAGTCAGTTATTTTTACAGTTTTGGATTACCTGATGACCTGTGTGTGACTGCCTGTACCTACATTATAGTCGGGGAGCCCAGGCGGGATTTCGGCATTTACTCGAGCGCGGCAGATTAACATAAGGGGAGCAACCTTGAATCTTATGAAGTATTCCCACCATACTTTAGCCCTTTATATAGTGTCGAACGTCCAGGGTGGCCGATCAGAGTAGTAAAAAAAATCGATCGTTGGAGAAATTCGAGCGCGTCAGATTAAAGTAAGGTAAGTTAATTACACACAAAAATGTTTGCATTACAATAATCGGACAATTGAAGCGTGACACAAATAAATGGGAGAGTTACAAAGTTGCAAAAAAAAAAAATCACTTATACACAGCTTTCTACTGGCTTTAGCTAGATTTAGGAGCCTTGAAAGACATATGAAACGAATCCACAATATGCAGAAAAATATCGCCAAAATATTCATGATACTCTCCGAAAAGGTTACGCTGAGAATTGTGAGTCTATATCATCCAAATCAGTTTCTTGGTATTTACCTCACTTCGGTGTTGTGAATCCTAACAAACCGACAAAGCTTCGAGTCGTGCATGATGCTGCCGCAAAGATACAAGGGCGGTCCCTTAATTCATTATTACTTACGGGACCTGATGTTCTGCAATCCCTTCTTCGTACGGTCAGCCCCACCATTCAAACCGTCAGATTAATACTTTTCCGTTATCGATGACACGTGGGGCAATTGCACTATTAATATCTGACGCGCTCGAGTATCTGTGCGACTGTTTTTTTTACATTTTTGAAAGCCTGTACACGCTCCCCTCACAACCCAATAGGTCCCAACGACGCTCGAGTAAATCCCTATTTAGCATCGTGAGCTCCCCTACTATTACTACTGCACCTCGTATAATAAAATCGGGTGATGCAAATTCGCTCCACCTCCACTGCAGCTCGTAGCTATTTTATAGCGACAGTGAAAGAGTTAATATAGTTCCCTGCTCGCTACCAACTCGCATTCACCTTTAATTTAATTCCAAAAATACCTATTAAAGTTCCACTTTAATAAAATTTTCACGTTCATAAATTCAGACAAATTTATAGGTTGATACTTTTCGCACCATTATTCTTTTTCTGGCGTTAAAGTTGCATGTGGATGGGAGAATCTGCATTACAATAAATTAGGTCCTCGAGATTTTATTCATTTCATTTTCTACGAGTCTCAAAGAACAGAATACTCACGCAATAAATTTACCTTATACCTATTGTTTAATATTGCCTGGGTGCCTGTAGAAAATTGTGTCAATTTTGATCAACATCAGACAGACAATTGGTATTTATTTACTAACGAAGAAAAGGACATCGACGAAATCGGCCCTAGCATGCCCAAAAGAATGTCCTTCACTATTATTTTTCTATTATTTTTTTAACTTATTAGCAATTAATCATAGTAAACGGACAATCTGTTTAAAAAAATAAAAAATAAAAGTTCTGTTACTAGATACTGCAGTCTGTTCATCCAACTTGGCACTCCTTTTTATTGAATATACAGCATTAAAAATCAACTGATAACTGGATTCAATAGGTTTCAGTCTATAATAACGATTTATTTTAATAGTTTATTGGCTTCGTTAATATTTTATTATTAAATGGGTGATTCTGTTAAAAAGTTGTGCCAAGATTGTTTACCTTAGTAATGCAATATAGGCGACCATAGGTATTTATCAACATAAAATTAGAACTAGGTACCTTAGTTAATAATAATTATTACTAGTATTTATATTATATTTATAAAAAGATTATTTCTGAAATTATCTAAAGATAGTTTATACTCCCATTCCATGTAATATCTGTTTATTTTTATGAAAATCATAATGATAACCAGGTACATACCTAATTACCGATAGTAAAGTATAGGAACAGGTAAATGGAAAGACTGAACATTTCATTTGAAAAGAAATCTATCATTACCTACTACAGGTAGGTATAGGTATCATAGGTGCCAACTGACAACACTCATAAATCAATGTTCATTTAATGCATATTATTTAAGTGCTTACATAGAGGTAAACACTAAATCTATTCAGAATATATAAAGTGTACATCTTTTACGATTAAGTATAATAATTATAACCTCAAAATCTAATACATTCTGTAGTAGGCCACGGTTCCTCAAGTTGTCCGTATCTCAACAAATGCTTATTTAGAGTTTATGAATGATTCCGAACACAACTAGCATTTTCTCATTGCTGGGCGTTCTAGGGCATTCAATGTATGGGGAACGAGCAATGTCCTTTATTGCATTTGTGTCGTTAGTACCTACATAAACAAATAATTGCTAGGCGAATTGTTTGTGGAATTATATTTATTTGTCCACTAGCTGTGCCCCACGGTCTTACCCGAGTTTTATAAGGGATATTTTCCCGCAGTAAAACGTAACCTATGTGTTAATACAGGGTGTCAGCTAACTCCATACCAAATTTTATTAAAATCGCTCCAGCCGTTTAGACGTGAGGAAGTAACAAAATAACATACTCACAAACTTTCGCCTTTATAATATTAGTGTGATTTATTTATCTATGCCGAGATAAGAGATGAGATGCTGATGAACAACCTCCTCGTAAAAGAGAAGACATTTAAGTTAGTTTTATACAACGATAAAATCGTTGTAGTTATAACTTCTACTTGAGGTAGGTACATGATAGGGTGAGGCGCACCGATTGCCTGGTTTATAAAAGTACAAAAAAGCGTAGGTAGCAGAACCTGATTTATATTTAATAATGTACCCCTCCACCATGTCCCGTACATGAACTATCTACTGAATTTTTATTTATAAATTTCTTCCAAATAGGTTTGCCCGAGTTAAATATCTCTAGCGTTCATTTTGAAGTTAAGTATCAAACGAGAACTTAACTGAACAATGAAGAATGTGCAGAAAGCGAAAGGTTCGAGTTGGAGTCCTGTCTACTACACTTACCTAAGGTAAGTTTTGGACTGTCAACTGTGAAAATAAATGCAAGAGAATCTAAATTCCACATTAACTTACTGCATTTGCATATATTATATCTCAAAATCTATAATGATTGTTAACATTGTGTAGCAATTAACCCATATAAAATTTAGTAATGTGTGGCTATTACAACCCTTTCTAAGTATTCTATCCATTTGATTACAGATTCCGAGATATAAACGGGCTTAAATTGGGATGCTTTCCACATTTTATTTACTCCATATTAAACTTTAGAAAATGAAGCGTAGTTAACCATACGGGAGAGCAGATTCAATGAACATAAATGAAGATTTCGTTGAGCGGGCACAATGGACCGAGTTGATCGCAAAGTGCCTATTGATTGATTTATGATCAGTCGAAAAACGTTATTCAAATGATTACTCAAGTGATCGAACCCTGTTCACGTCAGGGCAGAGGGATATGCGATGCCGGGAGCTCTTCACTTCAATTTGCAAATGAATATTCGTATACCTATAATCGGCTTACCATTTTGTCGTATCGACATACGCGATACCCGCGGGGAATAGCAACCAAAGCACAGCGATCGAGTAAGTAAATATAAATGAGAATTGGATTGGTATCTACTTAATGATTTCATTTCTTTTTATGATTAACGTATTTCTAAGTATATACTTAGTTAAATAACCAATTAATCAAAGTCATTAGATTAGCTTCCCGAATTTCCATTAAATCGAATTAGTAGAAGTACGTAACGAAAATAATTAGTTTGCGAGATTCCGTCTGGCAATAAATGAACCGTGGGCCGCGCTCGCTGCCGCCCGATATTGACGTCGCCGATTCAATTATATTCATTCCATGAAAATTTATTACTAAACTCGAATTCAGCTACAACTTCATTATGTTTTATAATCCCAACCGGTGATTAGCTACGGTCGAATAAGCGTCTTTTTATGAGAAGTACCTACTTACTTACCTATTACTTAGGAAATTGGTCCCACTTGCTCCTTTAAGCCCTTTAGAACTTTTGGATGTTTTAAATTCGCAGCGTAAGAAGACTTTTCGTATTAAACTTATCCATGCGGGCATAATATTTTTAATCACCATTCACAACGCTTTGTTGAAATTCTTTTAGATAAATCGGCTGCAAGGGGAACTTATTTAAGCGCGGACAGTGAAATACTGAATAAAACGAGTGTGCCGCGTCTAGTGCAAACTTCACTTACCTATTCGTTGTTATTTTGTCTACGGCTTTCAGCGTGGGTACTTTGTTTACGGATGTGCCCATTCAAATCGAAAATTATTGCCGTATGTAAAGTATTCCGGAGTGCAGCGCGTATCGAACAATACGCTACCGGGCTTATATATTTTTCAAGATCTTGGAGACGGTTAGATTGTATTTCCTGAGCTGCAGTGAAGCGTGGGCGGTATAACACCGGCTGAAATTACTCGTGCATAGTAGAGGCATTACTAAGTATTCTCCTAAACGCCGGCACCCTGACCCTGTGCTACACTACAATAGCGGACCCTAACTCTATTGTATAATTTACGCAGCACCCCAAATACGTCACTTTGAGTTAGGATAGTTAAGACAGGTCGACTTATCATTTGTTACAAACAACAGGATGTACATAATGTGCACCTAAAAAAGAAAGCAACCTAACTACAACCACTCGAAACTTTTCAAAGTTTTTGCATTTGATGAGATGGCCCAATTGATCAAGGAATACAGGTAGATAGATAATTGAAAGACACTTTTGTAAGTTTTAAATCATTTAATAAAATAAGTGATGTATTAATTTCTTATAAAGAACACATTTTAAGAGCAGTCATTGGCTGTATCGTAAAAATGATTTTCACGTGTGCATCATTAAAACACAATATAATAAATTACATTTCTTATAGAAATCAACTTGGACATGCAACGGGTCCATTTGAAACTAATAGTTTATTGCCGAAGTAAAACACAACCGTTCCTCAGGAACATAATATCTAATTGATGCTCAACAGATCATCGGATGCAACGTTACGTACACGCAATCTCAACAAACATACTGTAACACATTTTGTCGTCTTTATAAATAAGGCTTCTCTCTACGTAAACACATCGTATTAATATGTTTGGAAACATTTTAGATTGAAAGTTAATAAAGCATTAACCAATTTTTTTCATTTAAAATAATGTAACAGAGACTTGTTCACTACAAGATGTTAACATTATAAATATAAACTTCATCCATCGTATTACATAAAATGTACTTCTCTATTTCAAGATTAAAACCGATTTAAATGTTAAGTACCGACATTCTACATTTCCTTATCCTAATATATATATTGTGATAGAAAACTGATAAATTTCATTTTATTTAACGACGTATCAACTTTTCTGATAACATACGAAAATATATAAGATAAGTTTTATTCTCATTAATCAAAGTTATTGTTATAATTATTTATAGAAGGATAAGAAAATGTCTTAATATTAGTATCTCATTTACACATCTTTCCTCTTACCAAGTTACCTCGCCGATAAATTCGTCCATATCAAAATATATACCCAATACATTTATGTTTGATTCATTGTGTCATTGATATTATTTATTTAAAATATATAACGCCATATATTCAATATGTATATTTAAAATTCTTACGGCTAAACGGTAACTGAACTAAAATAATGTATCGTTTTATTAAAGCATGGATGAAATAAACTCTCTTGTCCCTAATAAATACATATAAGACTAGCTTTCTGTCAATTACACTGAAAATGATAAAGTTAGTGCCGTTAATAAACACATTTCACTATGGCACAGACAGACGTAGAAATTTTTAAAACAATATTAGCACATTTATTAATTTGAAACAAAAATAACTACAAATCGCATCAGGTACGTACTCGTTCTAAAATTGAAACTAAAATTAGTTTGTTCCTTTAATTAAGCGTGGAATGAGAATAAAATATAATATATACATTTCGTAACTTATATATTACAAGAAAAATGCAAGTATGGCATTGACATAAAGCTCCTTCGTTAGTTACACGAAACAATTAAAAATACATTACTACGAAAATAATTAGTTATAATGAGAATATTCACATAGCATTTCTATTATTAACAGATAGCACCTAAGCCGACAGTGAAAAATAAATAAATTGTCGGATTACCACATCATCCAAAAATTATATTACCTAAATCCAATAAAACGGCAAGCAAAAGAATCGTCGCTTCCGAGCTCCGACACACGTAAGTCACTAATACTAAAACGGCAGACAAACTAAAATTATGTACCTAATATTAATAAACAAAATATTCCACTATTTCGAACAAACAGATCGAGAGAAAAATTTCCATGTCAATACACAAATATCACTTTCAAAAACATTTTCATTATATTACACGAATTCGATAGACAGAGCCAATCAATAATATTTAAATTCCAACAAAGATAACTTTCACATTGATAAACTTCGAGGAAAAACAATGCGTGCGCAGCGCATGCGCGTACAGTTACTCTTTTGTTTTTTCTTCATTCAACAAATGGACTCGGTCAAGGTATGTCCAGTACGCAGACCTTGACGAGTGTGTGCGTGAGTTTCGCGTGGTGCGAGCGGGGCGTATGCTATCCGTTCGCGGACAATTCGTCCTTCAGCCACTGTGGCACCGGCCTTCCTAAGCGCACTAGCAGTTTTGAGAGAGCGGTATTATGAGGCGTGTAGTAGCGGCGCAGGAACTTGGCCGACTGCTCGTCCATCTGGGGGTACACCCGCCCCTTGGACTTACCCAAACACTTTGTCCTCTCGTTACTTACCGCTTGGCAGTAGAAACCTTTCTTTGCATCGTACCTGTTGGAAGAAGTTAACATATTTTAGGACGGCTGATTTTAGATCGCATTTGAAACACCTCAAAACTACTTCGATATATTTGATATCAAAAGGAGTCACTAAAGGCAAAACGAACTTTCAATTCGGTTATGGAAAGGATGATGTCCTTGAGGAAAGTATCATATTTCCAACCTCACACCCGTACTCAGAAACGACAAATTAAATAAGTCACGTGTTGTCTCATTCTATTTTTAGCGTAAAGTAAGTGGCAGCCTCAACTATAAAGCCTGCGCTGCGTTAAGCGGGGCATGGAGCGAGCTTACATTCCACATGCAGCTTTTATGTCATTTCATAGAGACCCGCTGCGCGGGAGACCCGCCTCACGCAGCGCTGCTCTATGAAATAACATGAAAAATACACATACACTTAATATACCTACTACAGTTGTGGGCCTACACTTTGCTTCGGTGTGAACTATGGGTTTTACTCTAGGTCTTGTACTATACTTAGAAATCTTCTTGAATCGCTGTATTTATTGTAGTTTAAAAGATGTAAGTGTACAGACAGCGGGAGCGACTTTGTTCTTAACTATGTAAAGATATAAAGAAAAAAATCATATGAAAATTTCAGACATCCCTTTCACAGTGGTGAAAGCATACGAACAATAATTTTGAGCCCACATTTGTAAGCAGATCACACGTGGGACAGGTGGTCAGGAGAGAGTTTTAAGCAGATAGAGTGCATGTTATAAGGCAGGGATGGCGAACCAAAGGCACGCGATACAATATTTTGGGTACGGCATTGATTGCAAATTCCTTAATAAAAAAAGTGTGAAGTAAGTATGACGGGTCTTCAGTCGTTTCGCTCCAGGCGCGGTTCGACACACTCTTTTTGAAATGATCGTTCTGTCCCACATTCAAGAAACGATACATTGAGCTTTCAACCGCATGTCTTGGATGCGGGGTAGAACGACCAATTCAAGAAAAGTACTTGAGCGAGTCACCCCGTTGGGCGAAACGACCTAAGACCAGCTAAAGCGAGTGATCACTAGGCTACAAAAACAGAATTCCCACTAATTTAACTTTAATTTAAAATTCACGTATAATTGAAACTTGTAAAATGTACCTATTTCACTGTAAGTAAATAAAGTGATTTAAGCTGATAGTATTTACTATTTTCCCAATAATCACTAAGTAAAAATTATTTGATGGCACCTCTATCACCTCATTAAACATTGATTTAGAAAAATGTCACGTTGACACGTAAATGTTTGCCAGCCCTGGTATAAAAGAATTAGTTTTCAAACTTTGACGATTACGGAGCTGTCAAAATTCGTGCTTGGGCGTATTGCAAGTAACTTGTTTTTATTCTATTTAAAGATAGTGTTCTCACTTGAGCATTTTATTGTAGTCGACATGCGGCGACAGCTTGAGGAACTTCTGCAGCGTGTTCATGACGCTGGCGGGATCCGTGCGCAGTAGCGAGCCGTCGATGATGTGCAGCTGATGGCCGCCGAACTCCGCCAGCCAACGCTCCAGGTAGTGGCTGTACTTGCCCGGGTTCAGGCAACGATTCCTGTTTCACCACGCGCAATTATTAATGACTATACAGTAGAACGCCGATTATGCGAATTAATTGGAACCGGGGTCAATTCGGATAATCGAAAATTCGTATAATTGGACTGTTAATAAAGAAAAACGAACTGTCACACATAGAATAAACCTTATAAGTTTAACAAACACAGTTCTATAATACTAAATACAATAATAAAGGTACATAGTAGCAAAAAAATACCGCGCCATGCAAAACATGTAGTGTCTCCTTGTCTCTAGCTTTCATTCAGAACAGATGAAATATATCTGGACTCCAGCAAGTTCCAACTTGTTAAAACAAAACAAAAATAACTTGGTTTTATTTTTTTATATTACGCATAGGACTGATTCGGATAATTGGCGATTCGGTTAATCGGCTTTCGGATAATCGGCGTTATACTGTATTATCCTATGTCCTTGGGGGACTTAACCTATACGTCCGTTTCGTTGCGTTCCCTAAAATACGGTTGAGCGTAGCGATGGCTGGTTCATACGTCATGCTCGTGAACGGGTGCTACCAGCGGAGTTAAGTCTGCCCTAACTACTTTGCTATTGAAAATGTTAACTAGTTACACTTAATATAAATATCACTATTTGTATTTATACTGTATGACACAGCAAACAAAATGCATGTGAACAATTATTGTATATTTCACATTATGTAATGAAAGGTGACTTCATGAATCATCTCTGAAGTCATTTTTCAACTTGACGACTCCGTTAAATTTTACAATCCTATGACTAGAGACTGTTTAAGAGAAAAAAATATAGAAATCTACATAATAACTGTTGCTTCTCAGTACATTTATGAAAATTTTATGTATGATCGAAAATTATTTCATTATTTGATGATTTTGTATTGACGCCGTAACAATATAATATTTTGAAAATATTGTTACATAATTATTTAACGCTGTGAAGTTTTTTTCGCCAGTTTTTCTCCACAGCTAAAAATAAATTCCTTAACTGGTGGTAGGGGAAAAAATATGGACGATTCAAGAGTTGTTATGTGCATCCAATTTGAATAAAGATTTTTTGACTTTTGTAATAATACAACAGGGAGAAAAAACAGCCCTAGCTTTACAGTTTCTTGCCGGTTCTTCTCCATACAAGGTCTCCCGCCTTAGATTTACGAAGCGATGACATAGCTTCTAGACATTCATATTGCTTGTAACAGCCTAAACTGAATAAATGATTATGATTACACCTATTCTATACCTAATGTCATCCAAATCAATTCAGTGGTTTAAGAGTAAAGAGGTAAAAAACAGATACTTATTTTCGCATTTATAATATTATTAGTACGGATTAATTAGTATGAAAGTATAGATTGATAATGAAAACGAGTGTTTCATGTAATGATATGAATCTTGTTGGTTCGTAACTGATAATTGAAGTAGGTGGCCTGACCAATGCTTTTTCACCAAATAATTTGTTTCGTGAGTACTCAAAATATGCCACGTTACTTCAATCTAGGTCTGTGTTTATGATGTAATTTAGTGTTAAATATAATATAATAATAAGGTCCTTATTGTTCGAAATAAATAAGTTTGAACTGGATAGCGGAAGGCACAGGTTAAAATCCTGTATGATACCTGGCGGCTTACTCTAATTCAACGAAATACTATATTTACATCGAAACTTCGCACGTCACTAATTATGTTACTTTTATATATTTCTGTGAAGCGGTTTTAATGGGATCGATACGTCAGTGAACGTGAATGTCATAGCGATCAATACAAAAGCAATTTCAATATACATTGCCGACAACAATAACAACATTTTAAACTGCTCAATATTTTTTTGTGAAATAATGAATACACAAATATCAACTGATTATTCCCCGGGCGGTTTATATGGACAATAAGCCGCCACTATTTCATCGTAATTCACTTTCAATATTCAAAGCACGCGGTCGACAGCGGTAATCGATAGTGACTAATGATAAATTGAACGCAAATTTGCTTTTCATTTACAGACAACGTTCAATGTTTTGGTTTAAACGCTAGGTCGAACTACTTGTTATGATGGATGATATTAATTTATCGAGATACTGAATACCTGTATGGATAGTTCTTATGATCTATTGATATACAAGATTTGTTTTCATGGAGTAATTTTTAATTAACCCAACGTATTATTTTATGTCGGTATAATTATATTCCTATCTACCTTTGGTGTGCAATCTTATATACGAATTAATATCTTTATCTCACACTACCAAAGCACTCAGATAGTGGAAATTAGATACAACAACGCTACGGCGTAACAGCTTCACAGTCCGATAGAATGGTTTGATTTGACCCGATCTAGGAATTGACTAGGCTAATTCTCAGCCGTCGGCCGCGTATATCAAACCCTAAGGCTAAGAACTCACGGAGCGATTTCCACACGCGCCCGCCTCGCGGCTGTGGTACCGCTGCTCGCGTGGAATGAGAAATGTACGTAAAACACAATTGAGGAGCTGGCGAACAAAACCGTATAATTACCTACATTAAATAAAAAGTTACCGTGGCTGTATAAAACTGAATATGTAATTCAGTTTTATACAGCCACGGTAACCTACAGAGAGCTTTGGGTGTGGTTTTTATTTTAACAAGTTAACACTGTTTTAGGTGGTATTGACTTGAGATTCCAATTCAAAGGGCCCAAAACCGCTGGATTGTAAAAAAAAACGTATTGTGACTAATTCTGTAATTATACCGTTTTGTTCGCCAGCTTCTCAATTGATATTTTCATGACGCGATTAACGCCCGCTGAGTGCGCGCTTGTTTGCGGCACAAGCAGCACCGACGGGCAGGCGCGGGTCACGAATTCACGATCACCCGCAGATGCAGCAAGTTGCGTTCTACCTTCTCTTGTTAAATACGTGTTCCTGTTTTCGCAACCGCAGCGGCTTTGGACCGCACAAAACTGCTGTCCCGTGAGTTTTGAAATAAAGCATCTCTGCAGACGCCCGCTGCGGGTGCGCGTAAAAACCACTCTGTGGGTTCTACGCCTACAACCACGAAGACGGGCGCTGCCATATTCGTCGGGCAAGCAGTTCGGTAACGCAATAAATTATTACACAATCAGCTTTTTATTCCCAGGAGAGCTTTAATAATCGGTCCCTCGAACAGATTGACTTATGTGGGTGGGCACACCAAAATAATCAGCGTTTTTATCACACATAATTATTATCAACAAAATAACTCATTGCTTTACTGTTAAATTACTTTATTCGGCAAATTAATAAAATTAATGTAGAACTCAGAAAAACAGGTCACTAAGACGAGTTTTTCCTTATTTTGTGTATTAAAAAGCTATCGCAAATGTATTTTATTTCATTCTGAAGAGAATGCATTGGACACTTCTAAAATTAAGTACTTACTTAAGCTATCGTTAGAGGTTTGTTAATCGTGAAGGCAAAAATAATTAAATGTGTGCTTACGTAATCCGATAACACAAAGCTTCTGGAGCGACGCGCGTTATACCTGTCTAATAATAAATTCATGGTACCCATCAAGAGCGGAATCAATTTCTTTTTTTAGAAGCTCGTAAAAGCTTGCTCTGTTTGTTTGAAATAATTTTTAACTATTCGTTTATCACTACAATATTTTCGGATCACTTTTGAATAACTGATTATTCTTATAAAGTTTTTACTACATTAAAAGTCATTCACTTACACTGTGAAATAAATTTATATTCCTTTACTTACATTAAGAGTCCATTAATTCGAAAGCGCTACGACCTTAGGAAACTGCATAATAATAAGATGCAAATAAGAAAGATTCATGCTTCAACTTAATGTGATACAGTCCCCCAGAGTTATGGTGATTCTGTGGGTATTTTAACTTAATGCACCTGTAACTTTTTGTTGATTTCGCTGCCCAGATTTTGAAATAACATTCAGAAAACGGAAGGGTGACATTGTAGTGTCAAGTAACTAATATTGTGTAAGCTTCACGGGATGGAGAATATGTGGGCCGGATTGAACAATATCTGTAGTCTGATCACATCACCATCTACCAAAGACGTGCTGGAGTAATGTAATAGTGATACTATAAAAATAACTAGCGACCGCCCGCGACTTCGTACGCGTGGAGTTAGTTATTTGCACATACTTTTTGACCCCAAAACGGTGTTTAAGATACATTATTAGTACACCTCTACACCATCTATAGAGCATAGATGTTAAATTTTAAGCCACTTACTTCAAAAACATAGGATTTTCATACAAACTTCCAACCTCCCAATTACCCCCTTAGGGGTGGAGTTTCGTGATAATACGTAGCCTATATGTTGACCCGGCTTCTTAATAATATTCGTGACAAATTTGAAGTAAATCCATGCAGAACTTGTTGAATTCATCGCGCACATACATACAGACAAAAATTCTAAACACTATATTTTTGGCTTCGGTATCGATTGTAGATCACACCTCAAGTATTCTTTAAAAAAAATATTCAATGTACAGTTTTGACTTTCCTACCATTTTATTACATGTATAGATAATTACAATTACCAAGCACTTACCGTAGGTCCCGTAGTGGTTTCGGTGCGGAATCGTTGGCAGTGATGACGGCGTGAAACGAGTGATTGTTGGCTACTAGGTCTCCGTGCGACCTGATATGTTGGTACCAAGAGTACGCCCTGCACAAACAAATTTAGTTAAAACCATTCTTTAAAGTAATAACTACAATGTCAGTGAGCATAAATTTTTACCAACAATAACTTTCTTCTTTTTATATTTAAATAATATCTACAAATTGTTTATGATATACACTATTGTTAAGTATATTTATAAACATTAAGTATCTCAACAGTACAATACAAAGCACGTTATTATAACAGACGGGCGGTTAGGGAGATTTTGGATCGGACGGGTGGTTACTTCACTACTTCATATAATTCATTTCCCTGCGGTATTTTTATAAAGTTAACGAGAATTTGATAGGCTCTTCAAACTTAGATACCTAATGCTAATATTTTTCGATAGAATAAGAAACTTCGAAATTCAATTATTTTCAAGTCCATTTTAAAAACGACTACTTACTCAATTCAAATTGGTTCACTACTCCAACCGAATGAATAATCGCCAAATAAATCTTCGTTTAGAAAAAAAAGAATGTGCAAAATTATTTATAGCGAGATTTTTCTCTGATTGTAATCTACTCGACAGCTGTACCTTTTCACGGTTTCATTGTACGAGCAATAAAAGGAATAGGCAGTGATTAAGGTCGACTCGGACTAAAAGCTTAATAATATTAAAAAGAACAAGATCTAACTAAAAATAATAACCTCGGAGGAAATAATGCGTCATTGATTTTATAGCCAGTAGGTAGGTAGGTACGATCGACTCGACTCGATGGAAGTGATATAGAAAAGCTTTTATTTCTAAATCAAATAGTACGTTACCATTGTCCGCGTAAGGTTGAAACGAATCGAACATGATACACTAATGGGATTGCGTAATGTAATGGAAAAAGATACACCGATTTAGGTACTATTTATATTTTATATTGACGAGCTCCATAAAAGAGTGGACGGTAATTATAATTTCGTTCAAACAATTTTTCAGTTTGTAGGGCTCAGTGACAAATGATTTTTGAGATAAGTTAATAATTATGACTCCACGGGTACAGTGACTTTTCTCTAGTTTGATATTGTTTTATTGGTTTTGGTTTTTTAATTAAGGTGGTTTTGGTATCTTCTGGTACCTTAAAAGTTGTGCCAATACGGAAAATATTTAAGATCCTCGAAATAATAATCCAACTCTATAATAAAAATCCTAAAATACAACTGGTAACCTTAAGGTAAGGTTAGGTCACCAACTGTAAATTTTTGCGATTTTCATTCCTTAAAATAATTGGGTAATTATCTAAAATCAATTTACACAACATCCTGTTTTGAATGTTTGTCACTCAATCATGCAAAAACGGCTGAAAGGATCTGGATATACTCAAGCTCTTATTAAGTAACCATATTATAATTTATCACGTGGGTAGGAAATATGATACTGTTTATCCTAGAAAAAAAATGTAGAAGGTAATTGAAATGGGTTATGATAGAATCAAACAAATAATATTGAACGGGACTAATGTGACGAACGATTGAACTAATTCATTTCATTTCTTATGTATTTTTTAAAAGGCCTACTGCCTTGTAAATTTACTATCCTTCTGCACTCTCTCTTTCCGACTTCTGCCTGCGCCCCTGGCTGTATTAAATAGCAGCGTCAAGTACGGGCAGAGCATTATTAAAACACGGTGGAATTATGAATAATATTAGTACTTAAGACGACGTCCGTGGCCGAGTGGTTTGTACGCCGGGTTTCATGGTGTGGCCGATTTGAGAGGCCCCGGGTTCGAATTCCGGTGGGGGCAGATGTTTGTGTGATATGAATACGAGCATTTGTGCTGCAGTCATGGATGTTTAATATGTATTTCTATATAAATATACTTATATATATACAGTATATGTTTTCTATCCGTTACCCTAGCGTCACATAACACAAGCCTTATAGTGCTCACTTTGGGGCTAGGCTAATTGGTGTGAGTGTGGGAAATATTTATTTATTTATTTAGACACAAATTATAAATATTTTGATAAATAATATAAGATGTATTATCGTTATGAGTCCACGTAGAAGATGTTGTGGGCGTAGTCTAACAAGAAAAAAAAACATATAAACGCGGCAATTAAACCGAAAAACTAGTTGATAAAAATGGAATTTCCTAATTGACTGACTCAGCCAGTACGACTACTGATCACGATAGGTGTAATCTGGCTAAAACGTCAGGCTATTTCAATTTATGAACAGTATTATCCCTATGAATCCACGCATAATATAAGACATTGTGGGCGCCCACAATGCCTTAAGTCTAATTAAAAAAAACGTATAAATGCGGCTCAAACCGAAAAGGTAATTAACAAAAATGGAATTTTCTCACTTGAGCACTGATTGACTCACCCAGTACGACTACTAACCACGATAGGTGTAATCTGGCTAAAACGTCGGGCTATTTCAATTTCTTTTTAATGTAACCGCTTACACCCATTTTTGTAATGAAACGCATAAAACGGCGTTGTGCAACCATTGGCAAATTGTTGTAACGGCCGCACTCAAAGTGGTAATGAATTTTTAAGTTTAATTTATATTTATGCCGTCTCTTTTATTTCATTAAATTAAATACACGCCTGAATGCGTTCAGACAAAACTTTTGAATTATTATTGAAATTAGTTTTGTTTAAGATTTTATATCACTCACTATATAATGACGTCATTAATGAATAATAATAAGGTAGGTATTTAAATTATTTATAGGTACTCGTATGTAATGATGTCAAAATATAAGATATTATAAACAATAAACATAATGAGTTAATTTGATTACGAAATCAAAAAGGACCGGACCACCATCGTAATGTTATCTAAAGCAAATAAGTGCGATAAGTGAAAATTAGATACCATTTTTTAAATATTTAAATTGATTATATTAGCTTTTGTAAAAAAAAACTCAAATATATATATAGGGTGAAATTGAATGTTTCTATGAAACTTCGTGAGATTGTTGGGTTATGTGTATAGAGTATGCCTGTTTTTTTTCGGATTTTTTTGAAGTATATTTTTTTCATGTATTTATTTATAATTTGTGTATTTTTATGTCCTTTCCTCCTTTTGAGTAGTTATTCGTTTTAAACAAACAAACTTACATATCCAGTGAAAAACAACTAATAAATAAGCACTTCTAAAAAACGGAAAAACATTAAATTCCACCGCGGGTCAACGACCGACCGCGCCCGCCAGCCGTTGAGTGAGTACATAGGTACCTCTACACAGAGCTCAGCTGACTCGTTTGATTCCACACAATACAATAAAATCGTCTTAGATGCCTTTATTGAAATTGAAATAATAAGCACAAATGTCATCTTCTCTTAAGCAGAGAAAAACTTTAAAAGTTAATAATAATTTTGTCACGATTGGAAATAGGCAAATGTTAAACAAAAAGAAATACTTATTGCAGTTCAATACTTGGGTCAGAATGAAATTTATAACCCGGTATTCAAAAGTACTTACGAGACCGGCGATGTAGGTAGGTACAACGAGGAACGAGGAACATATTCATTTTTTGCACTAGAACTTTTTATCAAATCAATCACATTGGTAGTACACAATTAGTTGTTTCTAATCAAAAAGTATTTACACTAGCAATAAAAAGAGACTTAAATTATTATCTGCAAAATTGTTGCTCTAAACCACCATTTTGCTGCAAACAAAGGTAGGCATGTTTGCGGACGTGTCTTTTCACCTTTTTTAAAGTGTCCCTATCACTACTCACTGCACAAAATGCAACTTCTATGGTTTGGGGACTCATTCGTAAACCAAACCTACTTCGTCACACTCGCGATAGCAGTACACCATCTCTAGGTATTCTTGGTTCGTATACCGAGGCATAATGAAATTATCACAGTGTATGTCACTAAGTCAAAAATGCGCACGCCCACGCGCGATTGATATACTTGCGACTGCGTTTTGCATGCAATCAAAGCAAACCACCGCGTGCGGGGTAGAGGGGAGGTGGGCGGAATTCACATCATCAAAGACGACGCAACCGGCGCTAGTTGCCAGCGAGGGGGCGCGCCGCCCGCCCGTGCTTGCCGCAAAACAACATATTATTACGTGTGTGTGTGTGTGTGTGTGTGACTGTGGCTGTGATTAAATGTGTTGGGAATTTCATGACGTGGGCAAATCAGACACGAAGAGTTCCTTCCTTCACTAAGCTCGTAAGTTATACCGATTTGCTCTGTGTGATTTTTCCCAATTTAATAAGCCGTTTGTGCTTAAGTTTTAATTAAACGAGGCAACTAACATTAACAATAAAAAAGAAGTTCTTACACTAACAGACAGGCTTTACCGATTTAAAATCGTGACAGTCATATTAACTTTATAGGATTTTTAATTGCTCTAACAGAAGATTTATTTTATTGATTAATTACCTGTGCTTTATGAAACAATATTCAAAGGTATTGTGTATCAGTGAATAAATAATTATAATATAGCATCTAAGACTATTTTATTGTAATGTTTTTAAATAGTGTGGATCAAAGTGGAGAGTAGGTAAGTGCCGAGTCATCTGTGCGTGTAGTAGGTACCTACACAGGCGGCCGCGGTCGTCGCCCCGAGCGGCGCTGATCTCGACTGGAGGCATAATGAAGGCATTCATTAAGTTTCCGTTTTTTTAGTAGTGCTTATTTTAAGTTGCTTTATAACTTCTATGTAGACGTGTTTAAAATGAATAATTACTCATAAGGAAGAAATGACAAAAAAATAACCAAATAAAAAATTAAAAAACGAAAAATTTTATTTTAAAAAATCCGAAAAAAATCATGCATTCTCTATACACGTAACCCAACAATCTCACGAAGTTTCATAGAAACATTCAATTTCACCCTGTATACATACATATATAATAAAAAATGTATAGAAGCGCCAATTATTTCAACTCTCCTTCATACTCAAATTGTGGTCTAGGCTATTAATAATACATTTAATATTTCATGTTTTATTCCAAATTTAGTCATAGCAGGTTGGTACGTACTCGACTTTGAAAGCGGCTATCTAAAATTTAAGCTGAAACCTAATCCCACTGAGGTATTCATTTGAAATATCGTTCAAGGATTCAAGAAATACGGACAAGTTTGAGAGAAAACTGATTACAGCGAAGTCCGTACTGAAAATATAAATTATTAATATTTCATTGGCATAAGCACGATAACTGTTTATGCCATGGAATTGGCACGAAGTTTAATAAAGAAATACCTATACACGTAATATTAATATTTTCAAATTTATACCTATATAAGTCTACTATCCACTCCTATTAGGGAACTAAAGATTATTTGAAAATAACTACCAAAGTAAATTATTTTTTATATGCTTCTTCAGATAGAACATGTGCCTATTAGATTATTCTAAATTTCGACAGCTAGGTATAGTAGAATACTATAAGAGATCCGTGTTTTCAAGATGTAAGTAATTAACAAAACGACTGAAGTTACTTCAAAAACATTGTTTGTATTCAGGGAAAATATTACGTTGGTGATATTAGCGACGCAAAATATAAAAAGATTTTCTATAAATCAAAAGCATTTCAATGAGAAGTAAACATTTATACCGCTAAAATATGTGTTTAACGATGTAGGTAAATATTTGACTTCCATTACATCCGAGTTCAATATCACGAGTATGTATGAACTGTTACCACACTTATCTGAATTTGCTTTGCGAAAAGGTACACGTGTTTCCGGGTTATAGTCTATTTTGCAGAAATAGCTACGGCGGAAACATGTAGGTACGTTGTTTAAATGAAATTTGAAGTAAGCATATTCCGTAAGGGGGCGTCCATAAATTACATGAGGTGTTTTTTGAATTCTCTGTCCCTTCCTCCCCCCCACTGGTGAGATGTCGTGAGATTTTTCAAAATGTGGGTTTCTTAGGTAAACACGTTGGTTTGTTATCGTAAACTAAAAAAAATGCTTCGTGCTTTTATTTACGACTAGCTAAGACTAGTAATCAATATTGCTGAGAGTTATAAGTTTAATAAAAAATTAACAATAGAATACTCAAATCATATGCGATTACGATTACGCTTAAGATAAAATTTTAAGCATGTACAATCTGGATTAAATGGACCAAAATAGTATAATTGTTTTTTGTGTCAATCAGAAAATAAATATATATATGCCACACAAACTGACACTTTGTATTTTAAAAAGTATTTTAGGTGGTATTTGTAATTTAAAATTGCTGTTAGTTGAAACATTACCAATGTTGCTTTTAAGAAACAAAAAAACACCCAACATTTGTGTAAAATATTGTAGAACAGATAAACAACCTTGTGGTGCATAAGTTTTCGATTATTGCGTATATGTGTGTCTGTACCTGTTTAAATGCTTCTTAGCTGTCGTCGTGTTAATGTACCCAACCGAGTGAGTTTCCTAAATTAATTGTTGAGTTTTACTTACCTCTTGGAAGGTGATATGAGAATGATGATAATTTTCGCGTTGGGCAGAAGCGCGTGCGCACGCCGCGGGACGAGATCGCCGTCGAAGTACGTCGCTGACTTCTCGAATGTGATTTGGGAGGAATTCGCCAGACTGGGTGGGAAGAAGTTTAGGTACCTGCCAGATAAATAAATGGGATGAGATATTATCCATACATCTTATTATTAATACTATAATGTGCAACAACTGTAAATAAGAATCTGTGTGTGAAACATTTCCTTATAAATTTTATATGTGAGTGAGCACAGTGCGTGGCAATAATACAATTATGCCGTAATAATTTTCGTATGCGGTATTTTATTTATTTGTCTTATTAATGATAAAGTAGGTGATATATATCGCCTTCGTTTCTTATATCATATCAATGGTAAATAATTTTACATGTTCTTAGCTTAAAGAAAAAATATTTTATTTATTCGGCTCTTCAACTATGAGATTATAGATCTCATAGTAAACCATAACAAAAATACAACAAATAGTTATATAACCAAGTGATACATTATTTATAGAAGAGCACCACAATGTCTGCTCTAATAAATACACATTTGGTAAACTTACATAATTCAGTACATAGTTAATAGACTGGCGATACTACTACTGTGACTTAACATGTGTGTGACATTTAAATTATATATTGAACTTGGTTCCGGAAACCGACGAAGAACAGTACCGCTTAATGCATAATCTACGAAATTTACTACGCGGGCTGAAAATACGTACTTTTGCTATTCCTCTACCGACCGGTTGGAGGAGATCAAACCCGTAAAATCGTAGCGAGCACAAGACAACCGATTGGATCCAGAATGTACCTACATTTGCACTCGACTCGTCTACTGATGTTTTACTGCCATTGGCATCCGATTCAATAGTGGGAGGTATAAACTACAAAACTCCCTTAGCGTTTGCGCCGCCAACAAAGTTGCTTTTAGTTTCGAATACGAACCGTAAACCGGTTAATAAAATCCGCCAATACGTTACCGAATTGATTTCCGTGGTGTACCTCAATTACTGGGCCACAACGCGGCAGGCGGGCCGATCAGCGGGAGTTATGGAACAAACTTTATTAGACCGCTGCGCATGTTTTCCAAAACTGTTTTATGTCTGAACAACGAATAAAATGGGATGCCATGCCGCTGCGAAGACACGCGAATGGCGAAACGATGTATTCGCGTAAAACGCACACGATGTTTTACTAAGGTAATTCAATTTTTATCTACTTATGTAATCTCTAAATCTAAAGGTTATAACATTTTTTTTTTAACTTATGAAAGTACTGCTAATAACATTTAAAAATACGGATAAACATCAAATATACTGAAAAGAATAACCTATGTATGTGATATAAATTTATTGTAATGGAATTAAGTACCTATACAGTAAAAATACATTACTCATTCTATTTAATGTTTAAAATGAGACTCGCGAGAATAAACTATATCGTAGCAAAGAACCTTGGCATTTAAAAGAGTGATATCAGTTACTGAAATTACAACTTAGACAAATAACAATCGATAAGGCGTACTGCTGTAGGCGGCGGCGAAATAATTTTTTTGATCACTGCCTATCTAAATATTGTGTGTAGAATTTGAATTTTGGTACCCTTAGCATGAACCAATACCGAATTCGAATAGTTTGCGAGTGCGAAATGTCCATGTCAAATGTGTACGGATTTTTAGTTCTTATTACGTCCGCTGTGGCGCTGCTGTTCAAGTTTCAATAGAAACTTTGACATTGACATTTCGCACTCGTAATTCGACTCGGTCGCATTACGAATCCAGGTAATCTAAATATTATCTGCAGATTTTGAATTTCGAATAGACTTACCAATCTAGGCCTTTAAGATAGTTGTTATTGTTGAAGAACTGCAATTCTTCGTAAGTACTAGGGCTGGGTAAATTGGCCGCCAGTGCTGGGTGCATTCCGAGGAAAGTGTACAGCGCCGTGCTACCTGTCTTCTGAGGCCCAACCACCAACACTCGGGGCAAAGTTCCACACCATTTGCTCTTTGACCAAATGCGTCGATGTCGGATGTCATCGCATGGATTCTGTAAAATCATCTCACTAAACATCGACCCTATCTATAACTAACATTTTACAAAATAAAATCTTTACATTATAGGTACAGTTTCTAGATATTTATATAATATATTGTACTTGCGAACTTGTATATAAAAGTTTCATAATATTTTGATTGCAAAATTTTAATAAAACATGAAAGTTTGCTTTAAATATAACTGAAATAACGTTGAATAAGAATTAATGCCGTTTACAGCGTGGCATGTTTATGACAACAGAATGCGATCTCGTTTGCAGATTGTTTGTTTTAATTGACATTAAAATGTCGAGAACTCTGACTTACAGAGATGCTTAGTTGCAAAAGGAATTAGGACGGACGTGGTTTGTTTAACAAGGCCCAAGTTCTTAAGAACATCAAAAGTCGCTAACATTATTTGCAAATTACCTCGCAAGTCTTATTTGTATCCAAAATTGAGAAGGCACATTTAACGAAATAAAAGCTGCTAGGTTATTTAATTACTCAGTTCAACTCAATTAATGAATTTTTCAGCACAGTACCTACTTTTATAATTAATTAAATACGCAAAAAAATATGGCCGACATACGAGTATGAACTTCATATGAGCAGAATTCATTTCATGCACTATAAATATTTGGAAAAGTAAAGTGTATTTTTAATGTGATACATAAATAAAAATAGCAATTCAATCAAAAGTGATGCCACTGTTTTCCTATTCGTCTGGGATTGGTATTTGTTTGTTAACCATTCCCAGATGAAATATTATTTAATTCAAACAATAAACAATGCAGCTTGCATTCCGCAGCACGGGATATATTTCCAATTCCTTTCCATGCGATATTTCAAATATTTCGCTCAACAATAAAATATAAAACCTCCTACGTATTGTTTAAACGGCACTTCGAATGAGTCAATAGGTATAAAAGACAATTTATCCTTAGGTTGAACATGACGACCTCCGTGGCCAAGTGGTTTGTACGCCAGGTTTCATGGTGTCGCCGACTCGAGAGGTCCCGGGTTCGAATCCCGGTGGGGGCAGATGTTTGTGTGATGAATACGTGCATTTGTACTCCAGTCATGGATGTTTAATATGTATTTCTATATAAATATACTTATATATGTACAATATATGTATTCTATCCGTTACCCTAGTATCCCATAACACAAGCCTTATAGTGCTTACTTTGGGGCTAGGCTAATTGGTGTGTGTGTGGTAATTTAACATTTATTTTTACACATATTTACATTTATACAACAAATACTTAAAAACTACATGATTACTAAAATTTACATTCCAAATAAACTTAACCTACTTAATTACTTAAATATATATAAATTACAAAATAAAAAATATGTCACCCCCTGCGCCGCCGTCAGGAATGGTGCCCAATAGGCTGGCAGCATTGCCACGTTGGATGGCAATGCTGATCCGTTGACCTAGATAGCTGCCAGCATTTTGCCACATTTGGCATTGGATTAATTAGATGTCTCATTATGATTTTAAGTTGTCAGGCAGAAATAGTGGCTTCTATGTACATTGTCAATTATCATACTTTTACCGACACTACCAGACAAATTTATGATGGCGTAAATTACTATGTTTTTCATCGCAAAGAATCACTTTCAAATCAGTATTCATGGTTATTGCATGCTTTCAGACAGAAGCAAATAGTGTCTGTTCATTTGCTAGTCATTTTCTATTTATACAGCATAACAAATACATTAAGTAGAGCAGATTCATTATAAATATCTCCACTGAATAGTTTTAGCTATTATCTCATTCTATCGATAAAACATTTCAAAATAACGATGTAGGTCATAAAATTCTAATGGGATCGTATTATCAGACATTTGTTAATTAAATAGGTACATGGCATTGTTTCCGGTATTAAATCTACTATATTGTGGCACCGAGTACACCGAGCTCGATTATTATGCAATACAGTGTACAGAGTAAATGTGTTCCGTGTTTAACTTTTCCAACCGTACGCAGGATGTTGCTTGTGATAATGTTTGCAGAGCATCTCATTACAACCATATATCGAACTATCGCAACTTTGTTCTGTACACTGTAATATTACATTAGGACCAGATATTAAATGTACAGCACGTAATTTAGTTTATATGGGCGATATTCTAGGATAAGATACTTTCCTAGTATTGCCAGATAAAGGTTCAGTAAATTTCAGGTTCGGTAAAGTAAATTTACTTTAAGTATATCTTATCTTCTACCTCCCTCTATATATAAACCTTAACATGGTTGACTTATAGTGATGCGTGGCGTGCTGACACTTTAATGAAATGAATCCGAAACTAATAATATAACGACGTACAATTATTTTCGTGAATGGGGGACTTGGGAGCTGCAATACCAGCTTTCTAGCTTCGCGCTTCTTATAGGCAGTTGAAAATCAGCATTTTGCATAATATGTTAAAACATTGCTGAGCTTCTGCTTATTAGCATCACTGTCAGTGAAGGCTAGTTATTTAAACTTGGTTCGAGTTAGAATAAAGAATACTTACTAGTTAATAATTATTATATTAGTTAATAAGTATTCTTTCAAAGCTATTATTAGTTAATAAGTATTCTTTCAAAGTCTGCAGAGATGAAATGTATTCATTATTGATGAAAATAAAGAAATAAACAAAAACCAAAAACAATGTGTAGAGAATGGAGTCGAGCGATACTCTGGTATCGCAAACATCTATAGATTATGGTGACCGCTTAGCATCTATGCTCGTTTGCCACCCTTTTTACATAAAAATACAGCGCTCAGATGTTTGTATCATCTTGATGATATAAGATTTCAATTATTAACACGTTTGTTTGTGTGACAATATTGTAGATATAGGTAGAGTAGCTTTCTTCTGGAGTAGTGGAGAATCTGCCTCGATTATTATGAACTCTATGTGACTGCAAAATAAAGTCACATTCCCCACAGAGGATTGAGTTCGTCGGGTCGCAGCTGTAAATATTTTTCTCGGCGAGTGCGAGCGGCGACATAGGTATATAAATATCGAAAAATACACTACAATTATAATATTAAACTCTATATCTATTATAAAACAAGGTCTCACTCACCCCCCACAGAGGGTTGAGCTCGTCGGGTCGCAGCTGAAAGTATTTCTCGGCGAGCGCTAGCGGCGGCGCAGACGCAAGGCGAACGTTGGTCCAGCAACGAAGGAACTTCACCACCGACTCGAAGGTGTATAGGGCCAGACGATCGTTGCCGTAGTTAGACATGTGCGTCATGAATACGTTGATCTGTTAGAACAAAATACAATAACTAAACTTATACCCATTTCACAATAGGTAGGCAGTGTTAATCCTGATGTAAGAAATATTTTACTCGTTGTATTTACATTTTAACAAGAACGTTTGTAGGCATCTGCTTACCAACAGGCGAACCACAACCACAAGCTTGTTTGCAATATATATATATATACTTTTATATAAACAGTTTCTTTAGCCTACTTATTAAAATTTAGGGACTTCACTAACGCCCGAATTGAATTGCAAGTTCGGAAATTATCTTAATCATCAGCATCGTCATATCAGTCGGACGCCAGACACTGCTGAGCATAGGCCTCCCACAAGAATCTCCATACCGATGGTCCTGCTCCTCGTGTTACTCGCATCCATCGACTTCCCGCCACCTTCACAAGATCGTCGGTCTACCTCGTAGAGGGGCCTGCCCACTGAGCGTCGTCCGTTGCGAGGTCGCCATTCAAGAATCTATCTGCCACAAAAGTCATCGGTTCTCATTTTCGATTCTATCGTAAAGCGATATTGTTTACTTTAGTTCTTATTTAGTACGTTGTTGTAGTACGTTTTTCCTACGTATTTCCTCATTTTCGATTCTATCGTAAAGTAAAGGATCGTAAAGATCGGAATGTAAAGGATAGGAATGTGGGCCTTGTAGACACCACAGTATTCTTAGGGATAACTTTAGATTCTAAGCTTCAATGGGGCCCACATATTGATAAATTGTCAAATAGACTTAGCTCTGCAGGATATGCCGTAATGAAGATACGCCAGTTAACGGATGTAGATACGGCCAGATTAGTGTACTTTAGTTATTTCCATAGTGTAATGTCGTACGGAAATTTATTGTGGGGAAATGCCGCCGACATTCAAACTATTTTTGTGCTGCAGAAGAGAGCTATTCGATCAATTTATAATCTTAAAGTTAAAGAATCATTAAGAGATAAGTTTAAAGAATTTGGAATAATGACGGTCGCATCACAATACATATACGAAAATTTATTACTTGTAAGAAAAAATATTAATTTGTTTCTTAAAAACAGTGATGTTCACACAATTAATACAAGAAACAAAAATAAACTAACTTTACCTGCTACTAGGCTTCACAAAATTAATAATTCATTTAAAGGTCTTTGTGTTCGCTTATACAATAAAGCCCCAAGCAATATCCAAGAGTTAGCCATAAATAAATTTAAAGATATTATAAAAAAAAAACACTTATTAAAAAAGCTTATTACAAAGTGTCTGATTATATTACAGACAAAAATGCTTGATTTTGAACTGTTCCAATCATTCCAACAGGTTTTCTATATTAAATAAATCATAATTGTATTGACGTTGTAACAACATAATGATTTGTAAATGTTGTTACATTAGACTTTTAATGATGTGGAGTTTTTTTCGCTCGTTTTTCTCCGCAGCTAAAAAATATGTCCATAACGAGTGGTAGGGAAAAAAAATTTTTGGACGATTCAAAAGAGTTGTACTATACATCCAATTTGAATCAAGATATATTGATTTCTGATTCCTGATCGCGTAGGGAAATACCGATCATCGCTCCCTCCATTACTCGTTGTTTGATATTGAGCCTTCTTATGAGACCCACAGTAAATGACCACGTTTCGCTTCCGTAGGTCATCAGTGGCGTCACACACTGGTCAAAAGCTTTTGTCTTGATCTCAATAATATTTATCTCAATAAGAGAGTATTATTGGTCAAGAGAGCATTATACAATTATATATTATATTATTATAATATATTATATTATTATACATCGCGGTCGCGATTCGTAGCCTATAAAAAGAATCCATTAATTTAATTAATTCGAAGCATAAACAAGAGCCTAACAAATATTCGTGATTGTATATTTATCTAATTCAGGCATTTAATCAAATTACCATCGCCAAGTAAACAATCATAAATCTACACCTCAACGACTCAGCTTAATATCCAAAAATGCTTTTATCATTAATTTATTCAACTAAAATTCTCTGAAGTTTCTCATTTAATGAGATTAAAACGGATTACTAAACTAAAACTACATTTCGCCAAAAAATATAGTTATACAAAACCACTATTAATTTTTAATATTTAAGGGTGAGGCCAAACGAGCGTAATTTTGTGAGTGGTGAGTCGCAGAATTTCGGTCGCAGAAATTCTGCTGCATTCGGTTTCATACAAAAAGGCAGTTGGTGCCACACGACAACGCAAAATGAGTTGTCTGCCGACTCAATGCGCATAAGCTCGTCCGAATTTCGGTCGGGGTGAGGGTAGGGAGTGGGGAAGCAACAGTTTGTTACATGTTGCGTGGTGTAATAATTCTTGAAAAACACGTAATGGCATATGATCGTACTTTTCAAACATATCTGGATTTGCACATAACGTTCATATAAAGTATGGAACTGTCCACATATCAGCCTCTGACTATTCAGTGGGTTTACCCAGTTTCTTTTTCTGGCCTCATCTTCTGAATATTCTTCGTAAATACACAATATTTTTAATGGATCCATTGCACTCGACGACACGAACACCCCGTACTAACTCAATAGTAACTGAATAAATTACGTTCGTATGGCAGCTCAACAGAAAATCAGTTGAACGTAAAATAAGTGACTGAAAATAAGCGACTCACAACTCACAAAATTACGCTCGTTTGGCTTCACCCTAACCAAACTGCATTTACCTATGAGTTGATTAATGCCTTAGACATTTGACACAAAGTTGAAATCGATAAGTAATATTTGTAACTTTTTGGTTGTTCACCTAATTTCTGTTGATTATACAGCGTCGAACTTACAAACGAGTAATAAATGGGCGTATGTTTTGTTAAGTAAGACGTGTGAAGCATGACAAATTGGAATTAAACTTATTAGGTATTCAGGCAGTCGCTTATAATTTTATATAAGCCATATATTCATCATAGTTGACATTATACTACATCAGAAGATGTTTACGTAGTTGAGAGATGAAAACGAAATATGTAGAGGATCTACTGAGGATGATTTATATTCTGTAGGTTTATAATAAAACCTCTTTCTTCACTATTATAATGACAACACAGGTTTTATTAACTAAATCCATGTTGTTTCATTTATGGTTAAATTTGACTTCAGTTAAAATACTAGAGAAAAAATAACCATTTGTCAAAATGAGATACATTTACTGTGAATTTGATGTGACATTAACTATAGTCAAATTTATATGTTTCAAACATAGTTAAATTTGTGGCCTAAGTCTCGGGAGAAAGACTAAACAATGTCTCCATAAGTAAAGGCATATTGAATACCCATAGGAAACATGTGGACCTGACGGCTTTTAATATGCCGAAACTGATTAAAAAACTTTTGTAATCGACTTATTTTGCTATTTCGACACAAAGTCTGACCGTTGGCCGCCCACCAATTATTTAATGTATAATATGACAACAGAAATGTATGTAATCCGTCATTGTATATAATTTCCAAAATCGCCCGCAAATGTGTGAAATAAATAATACTACGGTTTTAAAACAAAATGTCAGTAAATTCACTTGAAATAATAAAAAACAAAGCATTTTCGCTTGGGTCAAATGGAACAGCCGATAAAACAGATCAGCTTAACTGGAAAAGTCGTGCTACTCACTCGCCAATTCGGCATCATTCATTTTACAAGCAGAATTATTTTATCAGCACATAATGGTAAAATTTAGGTCAGCGTCCCATTTAACATTTAAATTTATGACCAGTGAATTTTGTTCAACTTATTTTATGTCGGTGAAATAAAATTCGCTGCGGACATATCAGATTAGATTTGAAAGAGTTTGCAAACATCCATAAAATTAATCTTTCACCACATAGTAAAAGAATTTGAGATAGAATTTGTAAAGAACTGCTTTTTAGGCTTCGAAAATCCTGCAATTGATTTTCAACATCAGTGTTTGGGGTCGAAATAAAACTAAATTATATTAATCAAAGACATTTCTAAATAATAGCAAAGAGCTGGTTGTTCATACTTTATCCTAAAGTAACCAGATACATTGACAGTAAACGGTGATTGTGTAAAAAGGACACAATTAAAAATACGTGATTACATGAATAGTATTTTTTTTTAAGATTTATAACTCAAACAGGTATGGCATAATTAACTTCTCGTAAAAACCTAAAAAAGACGAAGTTACATATTAAGAGTTTTAATTTTATTGCAGTCGGATATCAGCGAGTACGTAACTTTCAGTTTTACAGCTAGTATCTAAATAATGTTAAAGTACTCACCGGATTGTTGATGACGGTCTGGAAGAGCTCCCCGCCTTGTATAGACCTGTCGAGTCGCTGCCTGCCCCCTGGGTATCTCTCTAGTAGCAGCGTGTGTGTGAAAAGGCCGCACGTCTGACGCGGTAGTACCATCACACCTCTGTGACGGAAGCCACGACGTAACCTAGCGTCAACAACACACATTAAAAATGTTATTTTTCTGTGAAAATTGTGGGCGGAGTTTAGGCTTGTAGATAGATCGCTACTAGGGCCGGATTAAGAGGCGTTGAGGCCCTGGGGCAACGAAGTTGTGGGGTCCCCTAACGTAGGCGTATTTTAAAATCTGATACTCCGGGTCATTCACGATTTGCTGTTTTAGGTAACTTAAAAGAGGTAGGGCGCAGGGGAAGCAATATCTACTTGTGCACTGCCAGTGCCGTTAGTACATTTCGATGTGGACTATACTTCCCGTGCTTGGGCATGTATTATGCATATAATAGACCTTCGTTAATAAAGAAGTGATGGTGAAAACCCAAAGATATTAAATACCCTAGATACACCGACACGAACAAAATCGTGGCCGAAACCTGTCCAAAAGGTACATTGAACGATGTACACGGAGCTCCGTAAGATGATCGTGTAGTCAAAACAATATAAAGCATTATTTAATCATTGAACGCCTTCCTTAATGCATACTGTATAAGGTCTTAATTAAAACGCATTCGTCAAAGAGATACGACAGTTCGAAATGCGAGCTCGTAAAATTTTACGAGTCACTGCTATATGAGGAAGTATATAGATCTTATTTCTTTGAAACTACGCGAAATACTGAATGCCCTGTTAGCAAAATAGCAGTTACGGACCGCGAGGAAAAGAGACGGCTATATTGCCGACCATACATTTGAATATCACAAATATTTTCTATTAAATCAGTTTATAGTAAGTAGAAAATTTGCTTCAAATGCGTTAAATTAACAAACATTGATTAAATGCCTGTCGAAAAAATGACACTAACGTACTATAAGTAATGTTTTCGTATTTTTTCACGGAGCCATGCGGCAACTTTACTTTTCAACAGTCCGCGCGTGACTGTGAACCAAGAAGTGCTTGAGTGGTGTTCAAGCACTTCTTGATTGGGCCACATTTTGAGCGTACGTGGTGTATCTAGAAAAATATATGCGGTATAAAAAAGAGGTATTTAATATCATTGTGAAAACTGCATAAAAGTATGTGCAGACGTTTTTGAGTAGTTTTCCAAAAGATGGGACCTTGTATTATGTATGTGGTGATTTGGCCACTGAATTCCGCCATATATTATATTTAACAGCCAAGCACGCGAAGTTTATACCAATAAAAAAGTGTTCAATATGTTAACAGTTTAATTTCCCTAAAATCAAGTGCGTAGGTAAAATTGTGTTTCTCGTGGAGAAAATTAACAATTTTAAAGCTACAAAGCCTACCTATATAATTATTTTCAGCAAGGCCTAATTTAAGGCTTCAGAAGTAATCTTGATAGCTATTATTAACTAATTAACGACTAAAACAACAAATGGAAAACATAGGTATGTTTGTGATTCGGTATGATATTTTCATTATTGCAAAAAATAATAAATAAATATTTCCAACATTCACACCATTAGCCTAGCCCCAAAGTAGATATTAGGGTAACGGATAGAATACATATACTGATAAATATATAAGTATATTTATATAGAAATACTGATTAAACATTTATTGACTGACATGACTGGAGTACAAATGCTCGTATTGATCGCAGAAACATCTGTCCTCGCTATTCGAACCCGGGACGTCTCCAGTAAGCGATACCTTGAAACCCGGCGTACATACCACTCGGCCACGAAGGTCGTCAATAGCTGATTTTTTTAATATGATAATAAAACAAAACTATAATCTACCTACAACGAAGCGAAGCAAAGGCGGGCCACTAGTATAATAATAAAAAAATATTAAAATTAATATTATATTTGCTGCAACCATTTAGGTATTTTTATAATAAAAATTCAAAGTGAATCGAACTGGCACAATATTATCTCAGAAAGCATCCTTCAAAGTTCAGGTTGTATGTATCGATTTTACCTTACAAAGGCTAATGTGTTCGCGAACCCGTTCTATCTCTGAATACTACGTATACAGCGTTATCTCAAGAAAGCTTAAAGAGACCGTTTCAACCTCTAAGTTATGTTTTTTGTCGACTCAAAAGTGCTTTGTAGGGTCTAATGATTGCGATCGCTACATTACGCGGTACCGTTTACAGCCTGTAAATTATGTGTTTCAATTTAGGTCGTTATTATTATAGTCATTAATGTAAGGTATTTGGGAATAGCACTTATAGGGTCGCCTATCTTGATTAAAGCTTGAATATTTTTAAGAAATGTATGTTAACTTTTGTACGTAACGTATGAATTAAAAGGGTATGGCAATCTTCGGCCTTCAGAAATTTTTGTATCAGGCGTAATTCTGGAGCGAGAGGAGACTCCATTTGGATTTTGTTTTTGAGAGAGTTGATTTCAAAATATTGATAGGAATAGTAAAAGCAACATTGCCATCGCTTCTTCTTTTTCTTGATATACTAAACAATTAAGTACTGTTTAATTAAATAAAATACAAAAATGTAAAATGCCAGAATTAAACAGCGACATCGTTTGCATAATTTTTCGGCAGCGCGACACTTCGAAGAAAACAATTGGGATGCTTAAATTTGTTCTGTTGTTTTAATTAAGAGACCTCATTCCGTATTTTTGTCACGTAACCTAATTCTTGGTAATAATTGAACATTCGCACTACACGCCCAGTCGGGTCGTCGGGTAATCAGCAATTTCCTAGTAATACAATTATTGGAATTTCATTGTCGGTCGAATGTCCGATGCGGCACCGCAAACGCAACGCTCGCGGTCGATAGGAGCACAAAACAGAAAGATACAGAAGTCAATTACATGTATTAACTTAATTTTTCAACGCTCGACGGGCACGCTAGGATTGTCAACTTTAGCGTATTCACAAAAAACTACCGCGGTAATTGGCGCTGGTATAGTTGTAGTTGTTTAATTTATTTATGTTTGAGCATGAGACAGGAAGAACGGAAATATAAACCAAAAGAAATTTCACAGACGCGTGTCTAAAGCGGATGGTGCTTGCGCTCGCACTGGTACCAACCGGTCCGAGATTTCGTGTCCGTGAACGGTGTCCATGCGTGCATTGCACGAGCGCACTTTGTATGTAAATTGACTTCTGTACCTATCTATTTTGTGATAGGAGTTTGGAAGTACGCCGCAACGGCCGCAAACAGTTCCAGTTAACGGCGACTCTTATTGCGATCGTTAGCGTTTTGTCGCTGCTGATCGTGAAACTTGCACTCGACAAATGAGCTTCATTGTGTTTACACAGAGATTTGGCGAATACATTTTAAAATAGCCACGTATTGACCGAGGACCTTAAATTCATACGCGAAAATAAATATTTCTAACATTCACGCGAATTAGCCTAGCTCCAAAGCAAGCACAGTAGGCTTATGTTATGGGATAGTAGGGTTACGGATAGAATACATATACTGATACGTATAAAAATATATTTATCTAGAATCTAGTCTAGAAATACATATAAACATCCATGACTTAGGTACAGATGCTCGTATTCATCATTCTAACATTTGGCCCACTGGGGTTCAAACACGAGACCTCAGAGACACCTTGAAACCCGGCGTACAAACCACAAGGCCACGGAGGTCGTCTCAAAATTGAAACAGAAGACGACAGAAAAGAAGCAAACAGTTCCCAGTTAACGGCGACTCTTATTGCGATCGTTAAAGTTTCGTCGCTGCTGATCATGAAACTCGCAGTCGACAAACGAGCTTCATTGTGTTAGTAGAGCAATTTCACAAATACAATTCAAATTTCACGAATTGAACTGACTTTAATTTCATAAGCAAAAATGAAACAGAATAGTTTTAATTTTGATACTACCAAATCTCCTATTCAAAACAAAATTGTAGGCAGTCGTACGTAAGTATTCACGTATTTTTTTATATAAAACTTTTATTTGAAACACAGAATTATATTTAGAATTTAAATCTGTTTTAATCAGCGTACCTAATTATGTTTATAATGATTTCATAAAGGTATTTATTTTATTTATGGATGTAGTAGGCACAGTTATAAAATTTGTATTATCAAATTTAAATCATTAATTTTATATAATTACATTTAATCAATATTTTTCCTTATTTCAATAGCATAGCTTGCGTTACGTAAGGCACGACTTGAATGTATAAATACTATAATAATTTGGATAAGAATGTTGTTGCATTTAGTCAGTAAGCTCCATTAGCAGAAACAGACGCTTCTTACTCAGTTCAAAGTGTCTTAGGGATAAAATTTCGAAAATCTTTTATTGCCAGCTTCTTTAAAAACTCAGATGGTTTATTTATTTTGAAGTGTAGAAAGATGGCACTAAATTTGCAGGTCGCAAATGTGGATACTCCTCAGTGTTGGTGACTTTAACGTCCCAAACTTTCCTCCAAGCTTCGTAAAACAGCTCATGCACAGGGTACACTAGAGTGGTGTGGCGATACGGAATAACAGGAGTTGGTGGGGATGCCGTGCCCTACGGCGAACTGTTTGTCGAGCATCCTCATCATCAGCTTTACAAGCTCGGATGATTTATGGTCTAAAAAGAAGGCACTCACCTTGCAGGTCTCAAATGTGGATACTCCTCAGTGTTGGTGACTTTAACGGCCCCAAACTTTTCTCCAACCTTCGTACAACGGCTCATGTACGAGGTAAACCCCATAGTGGTGTGGCAAAACGGAATAACAGGAGAGTTGGTGGGGATGCCATGCCCTACGGCGAACTGTTTGTCGAGCATCATCATCATCAGCTTTACAAGCTCGGATGGTTCATGGTCTAGAAAGAAGGCACTCACCTTGCAGGTCTCAAATGTGGATACTCCTCAGTGCTGGTGACTTTAACGTCCCAAACTTTCCTCCAAGCTTCGTATAACGGCTCATGCACAGGGTACACCCCAGAGTGGTGTGGCGATACGGAGTAGCACGAGTTGGTGGGAATGCCATGCTCTACGGCGAACTGTTTGTTTAACATCATCTCCGCTATCAGTTGGGACACGTTGTTGTACAAGTGCGGCTGTTGATGGTTCCACATGTGACAAAACCTGGGGACAAGGAAGATAGATATATTAGGTACTTGTTGGGATGAAGTTCCAGTTCGGACGGTATGCGGATGGGAGCTAGGCGAAAATTTACCGTCACCGCCTAGCGAGGTAGTAAGCTAGGCAGCTAGATAAGCGAACACTGACGGCGATGGCTGTGGACTTGGTTTAGTTTTGTTTTGTGAGTGATGGACCGGGAGCGTGTGCGATGGACCGGGAGCGATGACGATTGACCGGGAGAGGTGGCGCTGGATCGAAAGCTTCCGCACTGGGCCCCCCGTGCACCGGGCCCCTTTTCGGTCTGGGACCATTCCGCACTGGGCCCAGTGTGGAATAAGTCCCTTGACCGGAATGGGCTACTTTTTTTTAATGGAATAGGGAGATAGGCCATGACTCGCCACGCGGGCCCAGTGCGGATCGGTGGGTCGTATATAATTATTTAACTTTGGCCCAATTGAGTGTTCTACGACACTCACGCTTTTTTTTAAAGAAGCATGTTTAAATATCAATTTATAGAAGTAAACGTATAGAAGGACACAGCTGGATCGGAACGTAGCAAGCAAAGTACATTCCATTCCAAGTAGAAGGAAACGAAATTTATTTTTTTGTTTCTGTTGTTGTAAGTAATACTTTATTGCTCCAATAAATAAGGGTTACCAGTAAATGTAGGCGATACCTCCTCGTATAACCATCTTGTAATACCCTTTACTTCCGTACATCCAGTACGTTTTCACTTCAAATAAAAAAGCGGTAAATTTGCGAGCGTGACTCCAGCATCGAGGATTCCAAACTACTTCATTATATCTAATTGTAGAGCTGCATTCACCAAAATAATTAGGTAACTGCAATAAAGTTTATAAACTAGATACGAAAGCGCCGAAAATTGCTCTAACGAAAAGATAAACTTCATTGAGGGACAAATTGAACTTTGCCGCTGGCAAATGTTGGTCTCGTAAATCTATCGGGGCCGATGAATTTACCAGCCGCAAATAAGTTTGTATAGTCGCAAAAACTGGTTTTGGATGTATCTATTTATTTGTCGTAATAATAAGATATTGCCCTAAAATGATCGTGAAACTAGCATGTTGTAAATATTCAAAATTCAATGGTCGCTTATGCTTGTATGTAAATATATTAGAATCTGCCAAGGGAAGCTGGCGGCAATCGTGTTCTAAGGAGGCTTCGCTATTGTTGTGTAATAATGAAATGTGCCTCAAAAATGTTTTTTAACCGACGAAAAATACGCGCTCGAAATTATTGCAGCAGCGCTCTCAAAAATCCTAAAATCGAATAACATTGCAATTTTAGACTTCCCTATTTCCTACTATTTGGAATGTAACAATAAACAAACACCCAGTTTGATCAAACATTCTGAACTGCTAGCGCTCTGAGTATTCAGAACAATCTGTTCAGTGGAACGTGCAGATAGAAAAGGAAAGTTCACAACTGACCCTTATTTACTTATAGCAGGGATCACAGCGCACTGTAGAGAAACTACTAAAACTCGGTCAATTTCTCATTTAGCCAGTTCTGAATTAGGAAGTCCGGTGGACTGTTACTTTTTCCGTATAAATCCCGGTCGATGTTTCAACTTTTTATGTTAGAGTTTTATCGCTGTTCTCTGTTGCTGTGAAAATGATAGATGTGCCGTTTTTGTTGTAGTACGCATGTCACTATGCGCTTCGTTGAAGTATAATTGGAGATGAGAATGAAGCGAAAATTGGCTTAGCGCCATACTGTTTTATCGTTATAGTTCCATTTTAACATTTGATTTCATCTTCAATTATAGTTCAGGAATTATAGGAATAGGAATAGAACAATAATTCGGTAGATTCGCAAACTATTGGAATAACTTCGTTTCGAACAATGCCGTGGAGTCATTATGGAAAGTAAGTTATACATGTATTTTTAATGAAAAACTTTTCAGAATGCTTTACCTAATCTATGTGTTGATGGTCTAAACAAATTAAGTCTACTTATTTTATTTGTTTCTTAGGTTTTGACGCACATCACTCATTAAATAAAACTATTTTTATCTACTTATTTTATAAATGTGAAAGTTTGTATGTTTGTTACTCAATCACGCGAAAACAGCTAAACAGATTTAGGATGAAATTTTGCACACATAAAGTTTGAGATTGAGACATACGATACTTTTATCTCTTAGAAATTTAAGATTCTTGATGGGTTTTCAAAAAACTAAGGTTATCGTGGACAAATTCGTCGGCTGCCCACTAATAAACAATTAAAACAAAAAAGAATGCAGCTTCTGAGTTTGAGAAATACGTTCGAATTATAGGTAAGCTGCATAACAGACACCTCGCCTGCGGGGTACAGGGTGTGGGGGAGAACGAGAACGGGGGCCGTGAGAGGTACGGGCGGCGGGCACTTGTAATTAAAAAAAAGAATGTGCCTCTGTACCAGCGTTGCCAGTTTTTTTTGCCAAGTCGGAATTTGGAACTTTTTGAGTGAAAAAAGCGGGATTCTTCCGTCGAAAGCGGGACATAGTAAAAAAACGTATATCAAAAGTTTTGAATATTTATCTTCATTAAGCGTCGGGCGAGCGGCTAGTCCGCACTTGTCTGTGCCACTCGCCCGCGCTTTCTCAGTACGCTGCACGCATGGTCGAGTTATTCGCGAAAAGCGGGATTGAGCCTGTCCCGCGCATTAAATTTTGTTTTAAAAATCCGGACGGTACCTCCCACGGTCCCCGTTTTTGCTCTCCCCGCAGGCGAGGACTCACTTAAGCGGTCTACCTATAGCCATATATTCCTATTTGAACCTCTGTAAAGCACACAACCTTAGTCACTACAGAACACATACTACTGAATAGGTACATGGGATTCAGCTGCAGTATTTTTATACATACGAGATTAATATTTCATTCGAAATCACGTTTACTGTTAGATATATTTTTAAATTAGCTCGGTAAAGAAACTGTAACTATAAAGAAAAATTACAGCTGTAAAGCTGTTTCATTAATGAATATTGTTCCCTGAAGGAGGATTGGGCACTCAGTTGCCTCTCAAGGGCTGACCCTATGCATATAATTACGGTTTTTATAGACTTGCCTACAAAAAAGATACCATGAATTTTTATTTATTTAATCAACTATCAAAAATATGTATACTTTGAGAAATACCTTAATCGCTATCCTATTTCTGTTGGATGTTATTTTATACTGGTAAGTCTCACTGAAGTTTTCGAAACCTTTATTAATATTTTATTGCACCTGTTACTACAGGTGCAATAAAATATTAATAAAGGTTTCGAATCTGCTACTGCAGATCATAGGTACTCACCAGTTGAAGTGCTCCCTATTTTTAAGGAGTGCATCGTCGCCTCTATTCTCCAAGGTTGTTCCATGATGAAAGTACTTCGCGCTGAAGCCCAGATTGAATCTGAAGCCTGGCACAAGTCGTTGCAGCGCAGACTGTGAAGCTAGTAACGCAGCCACATCTTCTTCGTGTAGTCGAGTCCCTAGACAAAAAGTATTCTTTGAATCAACTAAACTAGAAATATACTTGGACTTTTCCAAATTTTGACGACCTCCGTGATGCGAGTGGTATGTACGCCGGGTATCAAGGTGTCGCTTACTCACAGGTCCCGGATTCGAATTCCGGCGGGGCAAATGTTTGTATGATGATTAGTATTCATCATACATTGAGTTTGAATCTAAGTCATGGATGTTTATATGTGTACGAGACGACCGCCTTACGACCGAAGCGAGAAGAAATGATCTTACATCGAAACAAGATTGATTTATAAAATGTATCTATAATTTCACATGTATCGGTTGTATACACATTAAAAATGATTATTCCCTTGTTGTCTTATTAGAATGAGTCGGATATCGCAATAATAGATAGCTTTGCCCATTGTAAAATTGATAGTTCAGAGCGATATTCCGTCTCTTTCTCTCCAACAATCTTATAAGAATTTGTCTAAACGATCGCCACGACGCCAAGCGTGGCGCGGAGAAACTAGTTAGAATATTGATAGTTCCGACCTATAGGAGGGACAGAGACGATATGCTGTCCTTTTCTAACATCTTATAAGATTTTACCTGAATTGTAAGCATTCGTAAATAGTATGTTTTTATGTTTCGATTTATTTGTTTTATATCTTATTAGGAAATAGGTAGTTATAAGAGTAATATATCAAAGTTTTGTGTAAATCTTATTAATAGTTTAGGCATAATTGAGGAAAATGTCAAATATAGTTTTTTACGAATAGTCGATAGGATATAGGTATAATTGTAATGATAATGATATTGTTTTGTGTGTTTTTACTTCCTCTATAAAATGATATATGATAGTTAGGCATTAAGTGAATGTAAGTAGGTTTTTTAAGACTTTTTAATTTGTAATCTTTATAGGGCCGTAGATCTGTTATTTCTTAATATTCTTATTAGAAATGTATTGTATTAGGTAGATAACGCATAGGACTACATAAATAAATAGGCATCACATCAATAAATATAGAAATGTACCGTGTAGGAGACAAAATCTGTTTGTATAGAACGGTTTCCTAAGACATGTTACGCTCCCCACCCGGCGCACCCGGAGCGCGCGGGTGGGGCAGCGGAGCCCCGTGGCAGGGCAAAGCCCTATGGAGGGGGAAAGTATAAATATTGCGGAGACCTATTTTTTGCGCGCCACACCTAAAATATCATGCTTACGGACACATAACTGTGTTAAAAATATGCCTATTTGTATGCCCGATGTATGTACAATTAGTTTTAAGCTCGCACTTATGTAATTTTTGAGAAAATAAAAAATAAAGTATAGCGGGGGTGAGGTAATGGATCGCTGGCCAGCTCAGTCCTAGCATATAAAATTCGAGTCGGAACATGTTCCGACATGCATTCAGCGACAGGCGCTCCTACCCTAAGGAACAGGAAGAAACACCAAGCGGTTCACTCTGGACCATCAGCCTCCTCTCACCGGCCATCCATTATCAGCGCCCACCGATTTCTTCAATACCGAACACCAGGGGTTTTATTCGCCGAAACTACAGTCCACTACAGTCAAGACTCCTGCGTGTAACTTCCTCCACCCCTCAGTACGACTCGGTAACTGTCCGCTACTGCGACAGCCCGGCGTCCAGTACAATATGTATTGCTAGTAAATATGTATACCTTTATCATTTTTACGTATCAGTATATATATTCTATCCGTTACCGTTAATATCCGATAACACAAGCCTTACAGGGCTTAATTTGGGGCTAGAGTAACTGATGTGTGTTTGATTTTTTTTCATTGAAGAAAGCAAGGAATTTTCTTACTCACCTCTTTCGCCTACGAAGATATCGTCTATATCGACCAAGATCCATCTGTCGAGACTTAGGCTCAGCTGCCCGTGGCTCAGGTAGCTAAGTGCGTCAAGGAACAGCAAGCGATGCAACCAGAACTGTAATCCGGAACCAAACAGAATGCGCTGCACACCGTCCCAGCGCCCGTGGTCTTGGATCACAGTAGCTGACGGCGCACGTTCTTCTGAACAATAACAAATACGGCACATTACAGAATTGAACATTGAAATGTGATCTTTATAGTGTTTTTGAAGGTGCTACCTTAAGCGGGAGCACGGAGCAGACGTCTACTCCGCGTCCACTTTCATGTTATTTCATAGAACAGCGCTGCGTGCTGCTGGTAAATGATTATACGTGTAGTGGACGTCCGCGTCCAGCGCACGCTCTTATATTTCATTAATAGAATTGTATGACGCGTGAATCATGCGCTTTTGGGTGCAGAAATTGTTGTCGTTTGACTATGTCGAATTGATGTTAAATTTGTGTTATGCTGAAAGATCATAAAACTGGTTGAATTTTCTCCTTCCATCCCACTTACGGTTGGTGTGAAATGAGAATAGACTTTGTATGTACCTACCTAAATGTTAAACACGATATATTTCTTGAAATGTCAGTCGATAACATTTAAGAATCCATATTGGGGTAGCATTGTGTTACGAACCAACCTTTTTGTGCTTTTCCCCATACACGGAATAGTTGTTTATTAGATTTTTCGAGCTTCTCTAGCTATAATAACCTTGCTAAAGGTGAACAGTTGTAGAGGTCTTTATAGATCAGCAGAGGCCAAGAAAACAATTTGTAGGAATTTTATGTAGTGCTACTAGGGGTTCCCTCTATCTAACAGAATCTTGCAGCTCCTAAATTTATTTGGCACAATACACTAGGCATAATTTCCTTTCAAATATAATCATTGTTTTAAATGTCCGAATTCACAATGGCATATACCTTTGGCAAAACAAATCCTGCATAATATTGATAAGAATAAATTGGTGTTCGTGGTCGGAGGGTTAGGTAAGTGTTGTGACCAAAACTTAACGCGAGCCGAGCGAGCGAAGCGAGCTTGCCGCGGCAAGGTCCGGCTAAGCGTCAGCCACCTGATATTATACAGGGCCTCCCGCGATAAAATTATGACTTCTTTCAGTAAAATATCCAATTTTCAATATACTTTCCCTCCGTGCGACAAACCCGTGGGACGCCCTGTATATAAATAAACAAAGAAAAGTTAAGTGTTAAGAAAAGAACTATGTGCGATATGATGGTTCTGGTTTTTAATTATTATGGACATTGAATTTATATCCAAACGATGATACTGCCTTACAAAATTATGAGTTTAAATTTCTGATAAATGGCTGAATCCCAAATGATTTTCTGTGAAACGAAGTTGATGCCATTCAAAATGCCAATGCCATGAATAATAAATAATAATATTAGGACATTAAAATTTCTGCGATAAAAGGTAGAACCTGTCACTATGTAGCTATGACTACCTAAGAACCTTGAGTCATATAATAATATGACATCATCATCAAGGCACAATACAAGCAAAACTGCAACATAAAATTAATTCAATTTATATAAAAAAGAATCGAGAAACTGACACTCAGTACCAAAGTTTAATTACAAAAAGTGTAATTGCTAAATTTATGGGGAAGTAACCTCCACCTTACAGAAGACCACAGAATTTAAGACATTTTTTTTTGGATGACTATATTCCATTTGACGGTTTTTGTAATTAGTAAACTATTTGTGATATAGGTATATTCTACATTAAATATTGATAAGTACATATCCACTAACGATCTATCATTAATCTTGCCGTCCATTATCCCTTCATTTAGTAGTACAAATAATATCCACTCTCCTATAAATTATTTGAGGTTTACATCGTCAAAATCATTAAACAAATAACCGGTGGCGTCCGTTATAATAACTGAGATTAAATAAATGACATGTCCAATTAACTTTAAATCCTATTATATTCAGAGTTTGCACTATCGTTGTTTATATGAGTCAAATATATCTAAGGAAGCTTGATTTTTTCATGCTTTGCTGTAAACATGTTAATACAAGAATAAACAGGTAAATGATATGAAGGAGGATATCAACACGTTACATTAAACATTCTTGAACAACAAAAATTCTAAAAACGTAGACTTACCGGTGGAACCATATTCATTTTGTTTGAGGGCCCACGCAACTGGTTCGTAAGTGGAACTGTTGGCCCGAAACACTGTCCAGTGGTCGCCAGGCAACCCACCCCATGCGGTCTCCCCCGCACGCGCTAAGCGCAGCACAGGGGATGCAGGATTCAGTGTTGCGTCCTGAACAAAATAATTATAACATTATAGTGCGATTCAAACTTACTGGCGGCGGTGAAGTTGAGCCACAATACTGTCACGACATCGCATCGCAAAAATGACGTCGCATTGCAATACGATGCGACGACTCAAAGAAAAAAAGGACAATGCTAAAATTGGCCTAAGAACCAACACCAATTTGGCATTTATGATAATTCTTAGTATATTTTTTGCGATAATTATCAGTATTTAGATTGTGACGGATACTTCCAGTTAAGTAAGCTAAATTAAAAAGTTGAAAAATAATCTGAGACAATAAATACCATTTTATGTGTATAATCTATGGCAGCGCTGCAAACAAAATGCTCTTTCTTCCTAATGCCGGCACTTCACTTGGCTATTCGTATTTGCTATTTTAAAACATGACATCAGTCTTGTCCTTTTTATTCCTTATCAAGCATGACAAGGACAAACTGTTGTCAAGTGAAGGGCCGGCATAAAAATCGTTAATCTGTGATTGTGGTGCATGCAGTTTGCATTTGTAGTAATCTGTGGCATTCCTGCATTCCAAAGAGTAGTATAATATACCAGAAAGTGCATTCTCGTTTCGGATTACCTGTTGTGTGTGTTTATTTGCGATTGTTTTTCCTTTAATTTAACTATTTCAGCTATCTAATATGCCATCGATGTTACCAAAGAGCAGAACCCTTATTATCAAGCGCTAGTGAACCTGTGCCATAACATCCTGAGAGGATCATACTGCCAAATTATTCAAGAACACCTGATACACATTCACGCTGCATATTTACACAATAAACATGTGATATACAAATAAATAAAATAAACAATATGATACAATTATGTGAAAAATAGTCAATAAATAAGAAGCAAAACTACAGTTTTTATTTATTCATGATTCCTACCTAACCAAGTTTTTCCTAATAGTTATTCTTTAAAATGAATTGTAATATTAATTCACTTCATACTGAGTTCATTCTAAATTCATGGGTTGAACTATGTTTCATTGAATATTAAACATAACCTCAAAACAAATTTTAGTTTTCATAATAATTTAAGTTCTCAGAAGTGTCCGTCAATAATCTTTGTTTTTACAGTCATTTGCTTACGATTTTGAACCTAGAAAATAATATTTCATGATTGTTGGTTCTTAGGCTAACTATGTATGGACGCTGAACAATGTCCTTTCATCGCAATGGCTGGCAGAGCTTCATATAATTCCACAATGCGTTGTACGACATCGTAGATTTCTACGGGGCGAAGCTGCAACGCAGTGTTGTGGCCTCGCCCTTAGCGCAAGACACGCAAGCGCAGTAAACGAAATATAGGTTGGTTTGGACATCGTTTCTTTACTCAAATGTTGTTCAGGAGCGCGCGGGATGTCACTGAACTAAAATCTGTTCAAAGTTGCCCTCGCTGCTAACTACTACCATACATAAGATTTCAATCGCCGTATACATATAAACTGTGAGTAACATATTCATTACTTGTAAAGAGTTTATACAGAAAAAAACGTGCCACTGGACGGCTCTCGCCGTTTTTATTACCCAAAATACACTCAGAAACCAACTAAGGCCCATTTGCACCAAAGATTTCAAATCAAATTTAAAAGGTAATCATCTTTATGCCTCATTCCATCTATATTTGACTTTAAACAATTAACCAAGATAGGATGATTTGTTAGATGTATAATTAAGCCTTAATTTTAATAAAAAGTTTTGGTGCAAGTCGCACTAAACTAACTAGGTAGGTATATGAATGCTAATATGTACCTCCTACATAGATTGTTAGCTGCTATCATTTTCGATCAACTATTTTTGTTGGTGTAAAATCATGTATGCAAATTTTATAAACGTTAAACTAGAATTACTACAACGTAGAAATAATTTTTCAAACAACAGTATAATTATATTATTAAAAACAAACAACCGAATGAAACTATTCATAGTAATTACTGTGCTCCTAAATGCTTCTTTTAGTATCATTATTGCCTTCTCGAAAAATAGTAGTGTGGCAGACACCCAATGTTGATAATGGGCACTTACGGAACCAGCGAGCAAATATTCAGAAGCATCAAGTTTTATTTAGTGTGATCATTAGCGATAATTACAAGATGACTATGATTAAATCATTTACACTTTCATAAAGAATATGTCATTATGACACACATTTTACTTATATATTTATCTACTTTTAATCTTAATAAATAATTCTTACAACTTTTGTAATTAGTTAAAATTAGCGTATATTGTGTAAAAATAAAGAAAAGGTTTGGATAAGGACATTCATTAGTATAACCAATAACACGGACTAAGTTTCAAAATACACCACTATTAATAAATGTTAAAGTTTGTATGTGTGTGTGCGATTGTATGTTTGTTACTCGATCACGCAAAACTACTGAACCGATTTGGTTGAAATATGGTACGTATGTATGGTGGTATAAGAAAAACAAAACTGCTAAAGTGACGCTTCCCGATCCCACCAAAAAGTCCCATTTGAACATTATGTTCTAAAATCAAATCAAATAGCGCGCGCTTCCCAAACTTCCTGTTACACACTTACGTCCCACTTCACGTAATCACTCCCACAAATTGCACGAAAGCGAAAGGAAAGATGTCACACATCAAAAAGTTAACACGGGCGTAGTCGTGGGCAGCCGCTATCTGTGTATAAATTAAGTTTGGGGGTGGTCAGGAGATTTTATAGTATAACCAATACCATGGACTAAGTTTCTAAATATAAGATGAATAGAATAGACATAATAAAATATGTATATGTATAATACACCATTAAAACTTACATAGAGTCGAAGATTGGTGTGCATGAAGACAGGGAGCCCTTTTAGCTTCTTCCTCAGGCGTAGCAAAGTCCATATTGGCATACTTGGATAGGAACTCGAACACAATCATGCCGTAGCGGCCTTTTTGCTAGTGTAGTATGATATAAAAAAATATACTACCAAAACTTACCTTCAGTCGGAGATTTGTGTGCATGAAGAGTGGGAACCCTTTCAGCTGCGCACCCACCAAGGTTTCCTCCCCATTGAAGCGAGGGCGCTGTCAAGCCTATATTGGCAAAGGGCGGAGGCCCGGCAACGGGGAGAGAGACTAACATCAGAGGAGGTGATAGCCCACAGGAGGAGACTGGATGAGCTAGTCATGGAGCAGTGGGCCGAGGAGCTGGGGGCGCAGCAGTTCGGGGTGAGGACCCTGGAGGCGCTGCGGCCAGTCTTGGGGCAATGGAAGGAAAGGAGGCATGGGTCGCTGACCTTCCGTCTGGTGCAGGTGCTGTCAGGGCATGGATGTTTTGGCAGCTACTTGCATCGCATACGGAGGGAAGCGACCCCGTCATGCCATCATTGTGGCGCTGTCGAGGACACGGCGCAGCACACCCTTGAAGAGTGCTCGTCGTGGTCTCGGCAGCGCCATGATATGGTCATGACAGTGGGAAGGGATCTCTCGTTGCCGTCGGGGTCGTTAAAGCGATGCTGGACAGCGACAGATCCTGGAACGCGGTCGTCTCCTTCTGTGAGGAAGTCATCCTACAGAAGGAGACAGCGGAGAGGGCCCGCGAGGGGGACGCCCGGGCCGGTCCTCTCCGTCGCCGACGACCGGGGGGAAGACGGCGGCAGTACGACCGCCTCTTTCCACCCTAGTGGGACTGCGGGCGGCGGACAGGGTAGTCCGTCGCTCGCATTGCGCAGTCTCACCCGTCGAGGGAGGATGCCTAGGTGCTCCCGGGCATCCCCCTGACCATCAGGAGGAGGAGGAACCTCTGCCGGGTAACGTGGAGCGTCACCCGGATCCCACAAAACCCGTTCCGGCAGACGAGGGAGCACTGTTGGGTTTTTAGTGGGTAGCCCCCCCCCCCCCTCATATTTGGGGGGGGGGGAGGAGTCCCACATAACCCTGCCACATACCGGCGGGGTATGCAGAACGCATTTTCCCAACATAAAAAAAAAAAAGGTTTCCTCCCCAGGCGTTGCAAACGCTACCACACCCACGGAGTACTCGCGGCAGTACTTGTCCAGCAGCTCTCTGTTCCACTTGTCCATGTTGGCGTACTTGGACAGAGACTCAAACACGATCATGCCGTAGCGGCCTTTTTGCTAGTGTAGTATGATATAAAAAAATATACTACCAAAACTTACCTTCAGTCGGAGATTTGTGTGCATGAAGAGTGGGAACCCTTTCAGCTGCGCACCCACCAAGGTTTCCTCCCCAGGCGTTGCAAACGCTACCACACCCACGGAGTACTCGCGGCAGTACTTGTCCAGCAGCTCTCTGTTCCACTTGTCCATGTTGGCGTACTTGGACAGAGACTCAAACACGATCATGCCGTAGCGGCCTTTTTGCTAGTGTAGTATGATATAAAAAAATATACTACCAAAACTTACCTTCAGTCGGAGATTTGTGTGCATGAAGAGTGGGAACCCTTTCAGCTGCGCACCCACCAAGGTTTCCTCCCCAGGCGTTGCAAACGCTACCACACCCACGGAGTACTCGCGGCAGTACTTGTCCAGCAGCTCTCTGTTCCACTTGTCCATGTTGGCGTACTTGGACAGAGACTCAAACACGATCACGCCGTAGCGGCCTTTGTCCAGTGTTGTCAGTACGGGTAAACTCTTTCCGGCGACCTCCACTTTGTACCTGATGGAATTAAAGCTGTCTTAGTTACATTTAGAAAGCTTTGTGTAACTTTTTGAAAATTTAATTTAATTCAATCACTTCAAAAATTAAATTGTAAGATTGTAATATTTTATTATTGTATTATAGTAATAAGTCTCTAATTAAGACGTCCAGGTGGCAGCTTTATTGCGAAGAAATTTCATCTTTTTTACAATAGATGTAGCTGTGCTTAAATGTGATTCATGTAAGTTGATTTTTCTGAGAGATAAACTTTTTAATGTAATACAAATGTCATGTTTGTGTACGATAGCGCAATAAATAAATATTGTATTCTATCACATAAATGATAGTACTTTTATACTGATAATTAAAGCAATTCGTGCAAAATTCCGTGTTCCCTCCCTCTTACAACCTGGGGAAGAGGCGTGAAGAAGCAACATGCAGGCTGGCAGGGTGAGGATGGCTGGTGTGGTAGGTAGAACTGCTGTATCAGCTACCTTCGCGTCTGGACTTCACCTTCACTTAACATCAGGTGGGGTGAAGTCATTTGTCGGATCTATCTATAAAAAAAATAAAAAAATCCCTAACCATTCCAAAATATCAAAAATGCACAACGTTAATATTCAAGTTTTCACTTCTGCCGGCACTCCCGGAGTGCAACCCGTTTTTTTTAATAGCTAGGTGGGCAAATGACTTTACCCCACCTGCTGTTAAGTGGTGGTAAAACCCAGACGCGAAGATAGCTGGTGCAGTAGTTATAAACTGCCACATCAACCATCTTCACCTTGCCAGCCTGCAGGAATAACTTCTGCACGCCTCTTTTGTATGACCCCATATTGTAGGTAGGAGGGAACATCGTTATTAGCGTCAGGACATCAAAGAGCACACAGATAGATAAATGTATCATTTCTACACATCACCACGCGTCACGCGAGACTTTAGTTAGACCCGCTCCCGTTCTTTATAAATAATAGCAATAGATTGTGATACCTTCATTTTTCTGATTTGAATATCTGCCTAGAAAACTTAGCAGTATCAGGGTACATTTCATTTCTTCCCTCTCTCCTTGTCTAGAATAGGACTGATTCATTGAAATTTCTTAGCGATAATAAAAAGATTAGGTAGGTTTATATGGCAAACGAGATATTGATAAGAAAATTATTCTTGGCAAAATACAAAGTTGTGTAACGTAAGTAAATGTTCTTCTCTACACTTTCTACTACTACTATTGCCGAATAAGTTACATTTAAGCTAGTTACCTTCACAATATCAACTCAAATAACCATTCAAGTTATTTACAATAGTTTATTAATCACCTATTGTCATGTTTGATAACTGCGTTGTCGTAAACTTCCTGAATCGCATTCGCTTAGGTGTATTTCTGTAACAGTCACAGCGGTTGTAAGTTAGGAATTTCTTGGACGACAACTCTGTCTATTGCGAAATAATAGCCATTGATCTGCTGTATTAATAATGGCATACCAAACTAGGTACTAAGAAATAGTTTAATAAACTTGCTTGGCACAACAATATTTAAGTCTCTCAAAAGCCTCATTTAATTAGAATGACACACATATACACCAATCAAAAGCAGTCCGTCCTTTAGCTTGCGCTATAGGACGGACTTTTATCCGCGGAGGACCTTTGTCCCCGTATTATGAAAAAATTGCCCGCCGAGGACATGTCACGGACTCAACGCACAGGGTGTGCGGACATTTATCCCCCGAAAATTTAGTGAGGCACATGCTATTGAAGCTTTATTCTGAGATAACGTTGTAAAAACAAAGGACGTTATAAAAGAGAACACTGGGTCCATCCCTTAATATCGGATTGATTATTTAATTGTATTGTTGAGATTATTAAATGTACTTTCACTATAATTTTGAATAAAACAATGTTTCACGATCTTATTGAAAGATAATTAAAAATAGTTTAAGCGTAAAGCGATGCAAAGCATATGAACAGAATACTTGATTACATTTAAAATAGTAGGCTCAGAAGACATGGCGCTAAGCCACAATAAAAAAATATGATTATTTAATAATGACTCAATTGTGTTTTAATAATTTAAGTTTTTAATTCCAGATTAAGACAACCCTCCTCAATTACTTGATAAATCCGTTAAGATATTTTATTTTTATTTCTGATGATGAAATCTATAATAGACTCTAAAAAATTCCTTCAATTAATATTTCACCATTGTCCTTTTTCGTCATGATATTCTTTTTTTTGATGTATTATCTAAAGGAATTCTTTTTTCTACTTCTTTACCACGTACATCAAAGCGCGCATCGCGGAATTAAGTTCCCCGTGAGCATTGACGCCTCTTGTCACATTTTTTTTTCGAGGACTCACGCGTTGTATTATTGCCTTGTCCGGTCCCTCGGTAACCGCGGTAGTTCGGGGGACTTTTTGTACGCGGTATTTTTGATCCGTCGTGTGCGGTACTTGATACAGTTGTAAGCGATCTATTACGGCGGACAAAAGTCCCTCGCCTGCGCAGTCTTCAATTGGGCGGCAAACATGATGCAAAACGTTTAAAATAAAATGTGTATAAAAAGAGCATACACTCGATAACTCAAATTTAAATTTATCCTTGACTAACTGTTCTGATTCTGACATAGGTGATAAGCGATATAATCAAGTACAAATTTAAACAGAGAAATGACATCAATTAAGTATTCACTACATGTTTACATAGAGAAGTTACGAAGGTATTTATTGCATTTGCGGCGCGTGTGCTTCCGCATATTTTACTACACGTTATAAATAGAAGGAAATAGGACAGTCGTCATGCAACGCAGATATTGTGAATATCATATCAGGCGCTCTTATCTCAGTGAATAAACATGATGTGAATAGTAAGAATAATGTTTATGATAAGTAATACTCGTAAACGGTTTTCATAAATTAAATTATTCCGTATTCCGTAGGCATATAACTTTAACAAATTGACGTTATTACTTCTAATGAAATTATGTTACAATAGACTTTGAAGTCAAAGACAGATATCAAATATTGTTTAGTCTATACCATCAATTATAAATAGTTACATATAATGGATGGCGTTGCTAGTGAGTTGAATAGTCCCAGGACTTTCAAAAGTTATATAAGCGACGAGGTCGAAACTCGAAGCAATAACCTCAACCAAATAGTAATCAAGGCAATGATGGCCGACCCTTGTCATAAAACTGAACAATTTAAATAGAAGCTGCGGCCGCCCCTTTCCAAACAGAATAAGAGGCCAAGGTTGATTGGCAATATTGAAAATTAAACTGTCCTAACATTTCCCCTTTCAGGATACTTTCCAATTTCCAATCCATTTACTAATATTAACAGATTATAAGAGTACTGTTTGTTCCAGACTGTGGACCCAGAGAACTGATACAAGAGTGGTATCTTATTAAGACAAAAGACTTAAGAGTAAGTTATGTACATGTCAATTTGACGGATGCTGGAGAATAACGTGTACAAAGTATCACTTTGTAAAATTTCACATAACTGTTGAAATAAAAGAGTAATGGAATTCTGCAGATAGTAAACCATACGAGGAAGTTTCATTTTGCTCCAATTGGGCACGTTTCAATTTCAGAGCAGTAGAACAGTACATACTCGTAGTACCTACAGCGCACGGCAACTTGGAAATAGCATTTACCTACGGCCGGTCCGTATCTCGCTTAATATATGGCGCACTCGTTGGCAACTTGGTATCGTATTGGCGTACATTGATAACGTTCAGTACAGCTGTACCGTGGACTGGTTAAAATTTGTTTTGTTTACATTCGCGTACATAAAGTGAGAACGTGAGCAGCAGTAACTATTTAGCCGGCGCTAACATGTTTCTGATTGCCTTAATTAGTGTCCTGTCATTAAACGTGCGAGAGAGCTCGGTTTAAATTAAGGCACTCGGAACGGCCTACTTTAACCGTGAACCGAATGCGACAAGAGCAAATTCGTGATAAGGGAGCGCGAATGAGTTCAATAAAGAGAGGCGATGTCACAGCCAGCCATTAAGATAACGTTTATCGCAGATATAGAGTTAGTCAGATATCTCGGCTTTAGGAAATTTTGATTTTATGTGTATTTCAATTAAATAAAATTGCAGTGTCCAATTTAAAAATCACAATTACTTATTAATTTTGAAGTTTGTAGGAAATCATAAGATGTCATTCGTTAATTCTTATGGTTAATTTTAGAACGTTAATTTTTGTGGTGCCCTTAAAGGGTTTTTGTGTACTGTAATGGCCTGCGCAGACGAGGGACTTTTGTCAGTGGAGGACACAAGTCCCTAAATCTTAAAAATGTCCGTCGAGGACTTGTCACGGACTCGACGCATACGGCGTGTGATTGTTTGTTGCCCAGACATTTAGATTAGCGCACGCTATGGAAGTAAATATTCTTACATTACGTTAAGTTAGAGCAGCTCGATGGCGCAAGTGGTTAGAGCATTCGGTATGCCATCACGAAAGTTATGGAACTTTCGCATTGGTCGATAGAGAAATGGTTATTGTCTCAAACTCCCCTCTCCTCCTCGCTGCTTGCCATTAAACGCATCAAATCTATATAACCAACACTGGTAACGTGCAAATTAGTGAACATGAGGTAAATTTCCGACAAAATCTAATTTCTATCTTTCCGAAGAAAGACAACAGTTTAGTAGTACTGAGAGTATAAACGTTGCCTTATAAGACGAGCAAGCATAATGGCTACGCCAACGACGTAGACTAACTGAACTAAAAGTGAGCCGATAAAACTAAGAGTGCTGTAACATCCTCGCTGAGACTTATTAATGAAGCTACAGAGAGACATGCTATAACTCGTACCTACATATACAGTGGTGGTCGTATAATTAGAAACACTACCAACGGCCTGTGACATTATGTAAGATTCTTCACCGCAATCGTTTTTATTTTGAAATTAAACAATAAATAGGACAGAAATATGTTCAAAGATTTATCATTTATTAGAAAAACAATATAAATCCCATTACACAAATGCAGATTCAATATTACATTACGGAC